GGTGACAACTGCAGAATGAATGTTCATGCTGAGTTCCGGCCGAAACTTTAGCTGCGTGGCGCAGCTTTTCAACCCTAAACCCTAAACCCTAAACCCTGGACCTCAAGCCCCAAACCAACGGTGAGTGGAAGGGCATGGAAGCCCTGACCTGAAAATGGGGAAACCCCATGTGGGGACCCTTGCCACAGAAGCCCACATCATGGCAGCAGAAGTTAATCGATTTGAGGTTTTGGGCCATCAAATGATGTCCACGAGGACTCCTGAACCCACCACCAAGGGGGCTTTGGGAACTGTTCGGGGGGGGGGGGGGGGGGGGGGGGGGAATATGTGGGATTTTGTGGCGTGTTGCATGTACGTCTTGTGAAAAAAATATGTATGTGTGTGTGTGTGTGTGTGTGCGAAGAGGTGTGAAGCCTATGGAAATATGTCCATGCGCCTTAGTTGCAGAAACGGGCTGAAAAGCAGTCCTGTAGAAATTGTGCCGAGCTGTTTGGACAGTTGGCGAAGCCTACCGCGTCCTGTCCCGCAGATGCTCCTTTCCTGTAGATGTAAACCAAGAAGCTGCATGTGTGCTTGAAGCGAACCACTATTACATGCTTTAACTGGGCACCCAATGTTTGATGGCTCGAACGCTTCAATCCTTGTCTTAATACTCCAGAAAGGATATCAGCGGGAACGCAGCCGTGGCATTCTTTTCAACCTGTGGCACCCACTCAATCATCTCCAGAGATCAACCACTGGTCTACGATGCGCTGGAGATGTCATGGCCTGGCTCTGATGCTTCGCTTGCGTGTGCTACTGACCTTATGTGTCCTTGAAGCTTCACCCCTTCAATTTGCGTAGGAATGGGGAACAGCAGGGTTTGCTGGTGGTCATGGTGCACAGTGGCTGTACCTGCGTGCACCTTTCGCGAAGAGCCGGGGGGGGGGGACCACGAAAGCCATGAGGGAGCCATTCCTTGCATTGAGTCTGTGCGGTTTGCGCATAGCTCGGCACAGCTTTGCACCAACTTTTCATTCTTGTGGTGGTGCCAGAGCGGGTCACTAGCCCCAAGATCCGCGAAGGCTCGCTAGCATGCGGAAAACGGTTGGCTGTGTCAAGCTCAGCCAAGACTTTCCTTCAAATAATTACAACCTCCAAGTTGTTCCCCCGCAGCCGACGGCAGTAAGAACAAGATGCCGATCACAAATGCTCGAGCTTGAGCTGTTTCTCTTGGATGCGTGCTCCATGGCGCAAGACAAACCTAAACCCGGACCCTAAACCCTAAACCCTAAACCCAAACCCTAAACCCTAAACCCTAAACCCTAAACCCTACACCCTAAACCCTAAACCCTAAACCCTAAACCCTAAACCCTAAACCCTACACCCTACACCCTAAACCCTAAACCCTAAACCAACTCTCTCCCTCTCAGGTTCCAGCGCTCCCATGGCGTCTGGCGTGGCTCGGCCAAGCCAGCGCCTTCACCACAGGATCCCAACAGGCCAGCATCAGGGTTTTTAATATTTAGGGTTTAGGGTTTAGGGTTAAGGGTTTAGGGTTTAGGGGTTTAGGGTTTTAGGGTTTTAGGGTTTAGGGCCTGAATAATTATAGTAGGGTTTTTGGGGGTTATGATAGTATAGTGATAAAGGGACCCTAAGGGAATGAAATTAGCAACTATGCCGACCCCTATATTAGGGCCTAGGGTGGAGAGCCGCATCGGTTGCATTGGATGCACCATGGTCCACGTTTTGATGCTCAATGGTTTGGGGGATGAGCTGCAACCCTAAACCCTAAACCCTAAACCCTAAACCCTAAACCCTAAACACTACTCACCTAGGTTCCCTTCACCGAGTTTCAGACATGAACGGCCAGCTCGGTACTCCTCATAAGCCATTCAGAAGGGCTTCGTGCCAGGGCTTGCAGGGTATGTGTTGTAGGTTAGGGTTTAGGGTTTAGGATTTAGGGTTTAGGGTTTTCTGCCACAAGTCTCCGGCGGCAGGGCTTCTCATTCTCATGGCGCAGACAGCAGTTTGTACAACAAAATACGCTATTGTCGCGTCATTTCGCACGTAGCCGAAACCCTTACGTCTGACCGTAGCGGGGAGTCCGCGAGTCGGCGTCTCTTAGGGGTATAGGCCTTCTGAATCATCGCTCGCCAGAAGCCCCGAGCCTCAACAGGTAGATCCTATATCTTCCCTGTATAAAGCCGAGATGCCTTTGTTAGGGCTTTGACTTCTAGAGGCTCCTAGACCTCCGCAAGGCTTTCGGCACAGAACAATGTGCTCCCAACGAAGGCTGAGCTTGTGGAAGCAGGTTTGCAGATGCCGGGTTGAGTGGCTACTTTTGGCGGAAGTGTAGGCGTGAGCATGGACGGTTTCGATTGCAGGGTACCAGTATTAATCAGCACATGAGGCGACCGGGGAAAGTGGGTGCTCCCGAGTTTCCAGGCAGGACCTTGAGTACTCTTGGGCTGGCACTTGTGGGCACACTGCTGGGTCGCATGTTGCTATTAGTTACATGAGCTACGGCAGCTCATGCTGTTAAAGATGTGACACTCGTACCCGTGGACCTGTGGCTACCATGAATGCCGAAGCTATACGGGGCCTGCAGGCTAGATGGCAGAAAACGCACAGTATTCCCAGTTGGCAGCCAGGGGAGCATAGAGTGTTCCATACAGCAGTTTTCCCGTACTTGGCTCGGTCCATGGTGGGCTCTCAATAAGCCCCCAGCCGGGCTGTGGCTGATCAGATGTTACAAGCTCTCAGTGACCCCCAAGGCTTCGAAGCTTGCTTGCCAGGAATGCTACCAAGCACCCCCCATCTGCGCCTGCAGGCTTGTTTTTCCCATGTGTGCCGGCGTTCCTGCTCTCGTTGTGCTTGCTCGGCCCTCACATCTCTGGGATGCTGGCTGGCTTGTTAGCCCATACTCCGACTTCGGGTTGACACGGAGGATCCGACAAACAAGCAGAGGGCGGCGCGCCTCTTCCTTTAAGCTCTGCACAGGGTGGCATGATGGATCCCAAGCCCATGTCAGAGCTGCATACTGTCATCATGCGAGCCTCGGAAGCCGCATGCTTTTCCCAGACAGCTATTGCCCCAAATAAGAACCGGTAGCTCAACGCCCAAGGCCTGCAGACCCGAAGTCCCCCAACTTCCCAGCCTGTAGCTGAGATGTTCATGCTTAAATCCCTTGAACCCTCAGTTCAAGAACACATCAGCCCTCCATGAAAGCTGTCTATGGGCCCTGAAGCCTCTACAAGGCCTCTGGAGACTCGCGCCCAGTGTCCAGATGCCGAGCGAGGCCTCAATGGCAGAACCTCGGGTCAGAGTCTTGCTTGATTCTGGCTGGGTACTTGGAAACCCACTATCCCGGAAGTCCCTAGGATAAAGGGAGTCCTACGAAGATCTCCACTTAGGAGCCAAGGGTTCAGGTCAGGTCTTCTGCAACTACAGAGCTTTTGCGGACGGCAGCGTAGACCCCCGCGAGACATATCACCTGTAGAGTCTGTAGAAGTGCACGTACTTCGTATCTCGCGTACCAGCAGCTGGAATTGATGCTTTGCATCCATCGACTTGTCCGTTCGTTTCCGCGGGCTCCTTCTTGGCTCGAGCCAAGACGTGGAAGCCTCGCTGGCTTCGCGACTCGGGGTGGAAGGAGGTGCACGAATAGTAAAACTCTGGTCAATACACGCCTTTGCAGTCTCCGCAGAATACCTTTGTATTCTGACCATAAACCCTAAACTGCTACGCTCATGTATACCATAGTATTCGCACAGGATATAGTGTGTACTAGATTAGACCTCTTCACACGCACCTTGGGCAACAGGGCAGCATATCATATGATGGTCAACACCAGTGCATTTTATATAGTACACAGCATATGATTCATAGTATGTTGCATATGATTGATAGAGTTTGGAGATGCACGATCCTGCGCATCTTGCGTGCGACGTGCGACCGAAGTTGTTGTTCAAGAGCCGGAGCCGGTTTAGATTGGGTTTACACAACAGCGGGTTACAGTTTCTGTAATCTATTTTCTATACATTAGATATGTATAAAACTATACACCATCTATCAGACTAAAGAACACCTAGCTTTCCATGAGGCTTGTAGCATGTGGCATGTCAGGAAATCTTGCTCTCGGTGTTGCACTGAAGCAGATTGTGCTCCCTATGCGGCTTAAAGTGGGTTGGACATTACAGCAAATCCCGATGAGGCTCAATGGTGGGAACACGAAAGCAGCGCTAGCGCGACATGTGGGTTATTGCGCAGGGTGCAAAAACAAGTCTGGCCAGTCTAAAGTACTTATACTAAATATAGTTTAGAGTATACTATGAATATACTAGGCACCATTTGTCGAGTTATGTGCAGCACCATTTTCGCACATTTTTGCGGGTTCAGGATGAACCCTTATGCCCCAAATATACTCTACACTGACCACTGTAGAGTATACGTTGCAGTATACCATACATTCTACTTTACAGCATACTATACAGTATACTATACAGTAAGTATGCTATACAGTATACTATGCAGTATACTATACAGTATACTATATATATATATATATATATAGTGTACGATATATTTCACGGTATAACTTCAGGCAGCCAACAAGGGACCCTTTACTTTGGCAAAGTCCCATGTGCAGCTCATCATGTTGAAAGCAAAAAAAGGGGGAATTGTATAATTGTATACTATACAGTATAGTACGCAAAATAGTACGGTCTAACATCTTGGTAGCTGAATGAGTGCAGTTTTAGTTTTTTTTGGGCTAGACTATAATCCCCTACTGAGCTGAAAGTGTACATGTTTGGGGGGGCTTATGAACTCAGCAACCAGGACATGGTATACAGTGGCAGCTAGCATACTAGCTGTACTATATCGTATACTCTGGTCGTTTCGTACTCCATGACTTGCGCCGGAGGCGTGCAAGACAGCGGTCGACTTCAACGCCCCTCTTTGGATTCTGGGCCACCTATGGGGCTCTAGGGTTTAGGGTTTAGGGTTTAGGGTAAGTCATGGAGTTCCATCTGCAGGCCAAGGGTCACGTGGAGTTTGCTTGGGCCATGACAGGCATCTTGGTCGGTACCGTTGAAGTGCAGGGTGACTCGAGCCCGGCCGACCTGAGGCAGGAACTGGAGGACCGCGCAAAGGCTTCGGCATTGTGCTTGCGTCTTGTGCTGGAAGGCGTGCACGAAGTACACGAGGCAGCGACCGAAACACCGCAAGAGGAAATTGAAGCGCGCCTCGATGCTGGCTGCTTGCTTGAGGGAGCGCTGAAGCACCTTCGACAGCTCGACTCGCTCCTCGACTGCGCCAAGCGCAGGGCGCTAGCAGATCGCTTACCATGCCGCGTGCTGGCTTTGCGACAGGAGCCCCCAGGTCTTCCAGGGATCGAGTCTTTGGTGGAATTCCTGTTTAAGAATCGATATGAATTGACCTGGGACGCGGGCGACATTTACAGCCTGACGCGCGGCGTGCTTGCCTCTGGGCAGCCTGGTTGGTCTCGCTCGTGGTCTGGTTGCAACAGAGTGTTTGGCATGCACCTTCACGACGATGCACTGGAAGGTGGGAGCTATCATGAATACGGTACTGCTTTGCACCATGCCACCTTGCTTGGCCTTACCAGCGTCTGCAAGGGCCTGCTTGATGACCCGGCCTTTACACAGGCCGACGCACACGTTTTTTCCGAAGACACCGGCCGTCCCTATTGTACAGCTCTCCACGCCGCTTTGTTCTCCAAATTCCGGTACAACGCGATCAACACTGATATTGTCAAAATGCTCCTTCACCACAGCCGCTTCACAGCCGTGAATGACGAAAATGATTGGGGGCACCTGGCTTTCCACATTGTGGCCAGTTGGAGCAACCATGGTTCGGAGAAAACCGACATGGTCAAGGAGTTCCTGGCAGCTGACCTCGTGGATGTCAATGCCCTGGCCTGTGGGGGTTGTACCGTGCTGCACATGGCCGCTGGCGCAGGGGATGCTGCCACCTGCAAGCTGCTGCTGGACCATGCTGCCTTTACGGCCGCTGATGCATCGGGCACGCCATCAGCTTCTGTTTGGGGGTCTTCTCCTGCTGACAGGGACCGTGACGATGACCATCTCTACAGGGACTTCTCATGGCAGGACGTGAAGGGCACGGCTTTGCATACAGCGGTTGAGACGAACCATGCAGATGTTGTTGCAGTTCTTCTAGGCCACAGCCGCTTCACAGCCGTCACTCAGGTGAACTCGAACGGAAAGACAGCTTTACACAGAGCTGCGATGTTGGGCCGACTTAGCCTAGTCAAGCAACTGCTGGAGGATGGTCGCTCCGTGGACGTCAGGACTCGTGCTGGGGAGACGGCGCTCGACCTGGCCTTGCGGCTGCGGCCGGCGGAGCGCGCCCGCAGCCATCGCTCAGCCACTCTTTCGGACCACGAGCACGAAGACATGCTTCGCAGCCATGATGCGGTGATCACGGCTCTGCATCATGGGCTGAAGCTGGACATACCCACCCTTTCCTTGCAGAGGAAGCAGGCATATGAACAGGCCCACCAATTCGAGGCTGAGGACTACATGGATGGCCGGTGGCGCAAACGTCTGACTCTCCGGAAAGAGAGCCGTCGAAAGGAAGAGGCAGCGAGGAAGGCCAGGGAGGAGGAACTCGAAAAGCTGACTGGCAAAGCCACGGGCCACGTGAAGAAATGCAAAGAATCCAAAGCATCCAAGACCAGGAGCAGCTGGAGCATCGAATCGCCCGACTTTCAAGTAAACCTTCCCACGCAAAGGCCGAGGCCTCACGATGATCAGTGGGCACCAGGGTAGCGTCTTGGCATCGTGCGACTGGTTGCGGGATACGAAAAAAGCAGCGGCCGGCGCCATGCGTGCAACTTGCAGATGCCATTCTAGCTGTCGTTACGATTGCCCTTCTTACTGGCCGTATGTGTGACGAACACCCGTGAGTCCTTAAAATTCGAGGAACTCCTGAAGGAGCCACGAGGCGAGAGAGGGATCCAAGCACCGAGGTAAGTCCCCTTCCTGTGAACAGTCTTGAAGGACAGACCCTCCTTTAAACTCGAGGTGTGGGATCTCTACCTGTGCCCCCCTCCGAACTTCGACTAAGTATGGCAACCGAAGTGCCCCCGCCAGCTGGCAGGCGCTCTCGCCGACGGCCTGAGGTCCTGACATTCTTTTGTCCGAGTAAACGGGTTTAGGGTTTAGGGTTTAGGGTTTAGGGTTACACGTGCAGCATTTGGCATTTCTCCAGGGTGCCGCAGGTGTGTCGGTTCAGGATTTTGGGGAAACGCATGTGGGGTTCTTGCGAGTCCTTGAAAGCATGGCCCGAAGAATTCCAAGACCAATGCACGGTCACCACCCAAAACCCTATACCCTCAACCCGAAGCCCTATACCCCCAACCCTAAACCCCAAACCCTAAACCCTAAACGCTAAACTTTCCAGAGTTGAGGCAAGCGCCGTCCGGTGCAAGCCTTCGACGTGGCAAATTATCCCTGAGACCACCAACCTCTGCAAAAAACGGTTTAGGGTTTAGGGTTTAGGGTTTAGGGTTTAGGGTTTCCGCACCAATCCCTGGGCACGTTCCGAAACCTTGTACGTCCGAAGCTGGACGCGCTTAAAGAAAGACTCAAGCTCCTCGCCAGATACGGGGGCGTGCGACTTGCAATGATTCCAGGCCAGTGTGCTGGTGTAGGTTTCAGCGTTGATCGGGATTTCCTGGGCTCGTTCTCCTCGCAAGGCTTTCTGGCTGGTTCTTAGTAAGAATGAGGTACCCTATATCATCCCTTAAAGGGTATATATCGGGCCCTAATTAAGAACTAGACATTTTTCAGAAGGACTGGTGGCAGTGCCGAGGTTCTTCTCTGCGGCACGTATACGGGATAACGAGCACCACATGTGCCGACTGTCTCAGTTTCTGTTTCTCTGTTGCTGTTTCTCCATATGCTTGTCTGTCTGTCTGTCTGGCTGTCTGTCTGTCTGTGTCACTCGCACGTGTCTCTAGGTATGCCTCTGTCTATCTTCGCACGGGTGGGTAAACTTGTTGCCTGGGCCACATGGGCTACGATTAAGCAGAAAATCTTCATCTCCGGGTCAGGCAGTCTTGAGCGTTGATGTCGTCGGTCTCTTCTTGTAGCCGGTACAGTACGCTCCGGGAACGGTTGCCAACTATTTGCTTAAGAACCCCAAATGAATAAAACATATTCCCAATATTACCCTTAATAAGGAAGAATATTTTTAGTTCTTCTGGGGTTCTTAAGCGATCAGTAGTTGCTGTTCTTTGAGCAGAGTCTACTTTCACGTGGGCGTGGTAGGTTTGAACGGGAGCGAGGTTGCCAGCGCAACCATGGCTGGGATCAGTGTTTGAGGTTTGTAAGGTGTGTGTGTGTGTGTGTGTGTGTTTTTTTTGAGGGCTCGTCGTGCACAGTCAGATACAAGTAGAACCTTCTGCTTTCCGACCTTCTGGCGAGAGGTGCTTAGCCCGAAATATCATGTTCGACCCGGGATCGCTGTCAGGCTGCGAGTAAATCTTGCAGCCAAGCCCTCGTGACCTCGTGACCCTAAGCCCTAAACCCGGATCTCAAAACCCTAAACCCTACACCCTAAAACCCTCTGAAAGGGATCTTAAAACCCTAATCTCTAAACCCTAAACCCGAAAAAACCGCCCTACACTTGAGTCTCCTGTAGGTTCCGCATGCTTCGCCCTACTTCGGAGACGAGAACTGTTATGCCGCTCACCCAGATGCCATTTCTTGTCTGCCCTTTCGGGGACGATTCGGAGCAGAAACCCTTAGCTGCATCTTTCTACTTGAGTCTACATGGCTCCCACCCTATACCCTACAATCCCATGATCAAACAGCTTTCGCCGGAAAAAATGCCACCAGATCACATGCTCCCAAGTCTGGACTGGCATCCGCCAAGTACACCGTCGGAAGCATGGTGACCGCTAGGCCAGGCGGTAGGTCGGGTATAGAACACTGAAAACTTCAACACGCAGCTGCCATCAGCTGCACGTCTTCTTGCTGTTATGTGCACGCATGAGATTGAGCGCGACAACTGGTCTCCGCACACGACAGCTTTGAACCCGACTGAACCCTAAACCCTAAACCCCCAACCCCAAACCTCCTTGGACCATCTGTAAGCATCCGACTCGGGAAGTCCATGTCTTAGAGTTAGAGCCTGCGGTCTCGGTGGCGTTGGCCGGGTCATCAGAAGTGGAGTTGGGGTCCCAAAATGTCAAAGGTGGACCCCCAAAATCCGAAGTCCCACTAGCCCCGAAACTCTAGAACAGCTTTCATCCAAACCATGGTGAAATGTGGCCAATTATGCATCTAAAAACAGCACAGCGAGGTCACCACACACGCAGCGAAATCATCCATTGAGATGGACCTGGAGGGTTTAGGGCTTAGGGTTACTGACTAACAACAACGTTGTCAAGAAATCTCCATGGGAAGATAAGGCTGTCTTTTGGTGCGACATGTTGAACCCTGATGAGCACCCTGCTCCTGAAGCCTAAAACCCTAAACCCTAAACCCTAAAGCCTAAACCCTAAACCCTAAACCCCCCCCTCAAGCCCCGGGATGGCCAAGCTCCGCAGATGTCGGCTTCAAGGCTTCAAGGGAGGAGCAGTAGTCCACCGGGAGAGACGCTGAGACGCTTGGACAGCCTCTCCCGACCATGTCGTCGAGTCCGACGCCGCTTACGCCGCTTGCATGGGTTTAGGGTTTAGGGTTTAGGGTTTAGGGTTTAGGGTTTAGGGTTTCGGGTTCAGGGGGGATTTTTTGGGGTGAAAAAATCGCCTTAGATGTGGTTGACTGGGTTTAAAGGCGGAGCGCTCTAAAGCACCAGGGATCCTCATTGGTACATGGAGACGAAAGGCCAAAAGGTGCACTTGGGTTTCCATTGAGCCCAGCCGGCAAGCATCTCTAAGCCGTTATAAGCCCTAAACCCTAAACCCTAAACCCTAAACCCTCAACCCTAAACCCTCAACCCTAAACCCTAGGCCCTAAATCCTCCTGGAAACTCTGGTTCCCAATAACAGAGAACACCGAATCTTTCTCTGGTCTCCGGGGACTTCCGGGGACTTGAATTGGTGCCTCACTTGTAGGCCGCACAAACGTTCAGGGCCTCAGCAAGAACAAACCTACAAGCCACAGGCCCCAAGTACTTGGAACCGGAGAATCCAGAACCTCACGGAAACGTTGAAGAACCCCATCCTGGCCCTCGCAAAACTGAGGGTGCAACGTGCTAGACAGCTGTAGAAGCCCTAAAACCCCAAACCCCTCCAACCGCAAGAAGCCACATTGCAGATCTTGATCTTCAGGCCTTTTTCGGGTTTAGGGTTTAGGGTTTAGAGGTTCCCCAAACCCGACAAAAGAGCTGATATGTAATGTTGCTCCCCAGTCAATAGCGTTGCCCACGATGCGAATAGTGCGAAAGTTTGGCAGTGCGATTCAGCGACCCCCTAGTGACAGGTTTAGGGTTTAGGGTTCGGCTTTAGGGTTTAGGGTTTAGGGTTTAGGGTTTAGGGTTTAGGGTGTAGGGTACCCGGAATAATGCAAGTTCTTGGGCCTCCAGGGGGCCAGCAAGGGAAAGGTTGATGAATCAAAAGCCTGAAGTCCTTAGGGCCTCAAGCTTCGAGGCCTGGCCAGATTCCAGCTTCTGATTCCTAAATACTTGGAGCCGAGTTGTATACAAACCCCCTTTACAGTTTAGGGTTTAGGGTTTAGGGTTTAGGGTTTAGGGTTTAGGGTTTAGGGTTTAGGGTTTAGGGTTTAGGGTTTAGGGTTTAGCCCTTGTGCATGTCAGAGGGTGGTCCGGATGAAGGCTAAGCTCCTCGACCCTCGACGTCAAACCTCTGTTGTTTCTTGGGTGGGTTTAGGGTTTAGGGTTTAGGGTTGAGGGTTTAGGGTTTAGGGTTTAGGGTTTAGGGTTTAGGGTTTAGGGCAACTTTATGCGGTGAGTAGGTCCACAAAGCAGATCCCTGATGGCTTCCCTGTTTAAGGCAAACTGTCATGGTTAGGCGGCTAGGCGTCTCCACTACGGTAGGATTTTACTTGGTCAACCCTATATGTCCTACCCTACCGTCCCCTAAGGAAACAGTCCAGCGGCATATTTCGGATGCAAAGATCGCAGTCTGGCCTTGTGCTGATGCAGAGGAAGGAACAGACTCGGCCCCTCAACCCGATGTAGGATTTGGGATGGCCTTGGAGCTCTCAGGGTTCTTGGGGTTTAGGGTTTAGGGTTTAGGGTTTAGGGCAGAGTCTGGATTAGGATTGGGCGTTTGGGATGTACAGTGTGTATGTCTAAAGGGCTCAGGCAGGGTCTTTAGGCTGTTTGGGTTGGATTTCAGGGGCTCCGGATGCTTCTAAGGCGCATGCCCCGCAACCTTAGCCCCTAATACGCTCAACCCTAAAACGTTGGCATCAAGGGCCTTCGGTCATGAACGGAATTCTGAGTCCTAAACCCTAAACCCTAAACCCTAAACCCTAAACCCTAAACCCTAAACCCTAAACCCTAAACCCTAAACCCTAAACCCTAAACCCTAAACCCTAAACCCTAAACCCTAAGTTGAGGAGGTCAACAACGGTGAGACCGTTTTTCAGTACCGAACACTTGTGGCTGCAACGAGTTCCAGCGCACGCGCAAAGCCTGCCTCTGCGAGGTCCCGCGAGTTCCCAACAGAGAATACGGAGGCCCCGGGGCCGAGGTGTTGAATGTTTGATCTCGACGGTCAACGAGCTTTCTGCACTGGAAAACCTAAAGTTTTTGGGGCACACACTGTTTCTTGAAGCGTTGCCGGAGTTCGGGCTGGGCTTGGCATGAAGGATTCGCATGTGTTCAGTATGTAGGGCGTGTCCACTGTGCGGATCCTCTCCCATTTTTCTCTCCCCCTCCACCGTTTCTACCCGCCCCCCCTTCCTCTTCTCCTTGGCTCGATTTCCGAACACCCCCAAGCCTCCCCAGCCCCTCCGCCCCCTGCCCTTCCCGCGCCTTGCCTCCCTCCTGAATCCCGTCCTTGCCCCTGCCTTCGGCTACCCCGCCCTCCCTACCCTCCAAGCAATGCCCATGGGCCCGGACCGTCAAGCTAAAGCAAGCATGCGTACGAGGCGATGGGGCTCAAGGCTCGCCCTTGTAGGCCTGAAGAGGCCTTGAGAGCCCCAAGAATACTCACCCTACTCAATTCGATGACCCGACGAAGCTTGAGGGCGACAGCACAACTTCATGACATGGACGACATCCTCAACACACCAAGACGACACCAAGATTATTCCAAGAACCGTCCCTTGTGTTTCTTGTGCAGCTCCGTTTACGGGCATCACGCATCTCAGACCTTTGTTTTCGCAAAGCTCATGGCCAATTTTCGAAGCATAAACCCTAAGACCCTAAACCCTAAACCCTAAACCCTAAAACCCTAAAACCCTAAAACCCTAAAACCCTAAAACCCTAAAACCCTAACACCCTAAAACCCTAAAACCCTAAGACTCTAAGACCCTAAGACCCTAAGACCCTAAAACCCTAAAACCCTAAAACCCCATGCCTGGCCAAGTCAATCCCTTGTGCTTCTTGTCTCTCCGGGCGGCAGGCAATCGAGGCCCGTGGCTACCTTGCACCCTGGCTGCGGGCACTGCCCTTGTTTTGCTACAAGCAAGTGCTTCCGGTTAGGTTTTTAAGATGGTTTATGGCTCAGGCGGCAGCATCTGCACAGAATACCTGCTTATGGCACCATGGCCAAGGGAGGGCGCTGAATGAATCCTAGTTATCCCCACCCCTACTGGTTGCTAGCTCCCTCGTAGCAAGGCGCGGGTTCATGTTCACGGGATAGCTCCAGATTTGGTGTTCAAATTTGCTTGTTTCTGTTGGGGGAATCTGCGTCCGCTGGCACTCACATTGTATAGCGGAGGCCAGGGAATGCCAAGCGCTCCTCAGATGCAGTTGAGAACCCCGAGCGCCAGAGGGAGAGGTAGTTTAGGGTTCTTATAACGCTTGGCGATTGCAATGCAAGCACCCTTTGCTTGTAGAAGTGACAGTCCCATAGGTCTGGAGTCTTGAAAGCGCCAGAACCCTACGCCCCAGATCTGCGGCTCATGGCAGCTCCGATGTGGCAGCCAGTGTCGGACATTGTGCCCTGTGCCACCCTAAACCCTAAACCCTAAACCCCAAACCCTAAACCCTAGAAGTATGGAGGCTGGCACACATCTTCTGTAGCAAGCTGATGGTGCTCCTCGTCTTTGTGCCCTTGGGGCTGAGTGCAGGCGCTCTGCTTTGCATTTCACGGGTCTTCAAAGAAACCCTAAACCCTAAACCCTAAACCTTAATCCAGGATTGGCTGTTCGTCATGGTTTGGATATGGAGCCTTAGAGCTGTTTGTGCAAGTCAGGATTCTCGCACATGCCAAGGCACATCCTCACTACTACATCCCGCTTCCCTGAGAGGCAAGATGGAGCTCAACAGCGCGTGGATATTCACCTTCAACTTCCTAGCCATCGTGCCGCTAGCAGGCCGGCGTCCCTAATCATAGCCCCTGCGCAATCTTGGCTTGCCTAGGAGTAGATGTGCATGAAAGGATCGAAGATCAACCTGTATGCGCATAGTCACAGTGTGTGAAACGGTGCAGGAATAGAGGGGGGGGGGGGGGGGGGGGCGGATTTCACACCGTCAGAGCTTTCGGGCTTTCGCTAAGGCCTAGTTGCTGTCGTGTCTCATCGCTGCTCACGTATTCCGGGTATTTCGTGAGTGACACACAGCACTGCAGCAGTGTGAGCAGCTTACAACGAGACAAGGGAACCCTAAACCCTAAACCCTAAACCCTAAACCCTAAACCCTAAACCCTAAACCCTAAACCCTACAAAGCTGAGGAATTCTGGGAGCTTCTACAGAAGCCATGGCCTCGCACACAGGGCAGATGATCGGAGGCCAGTGGGGCCCTTGTATGTCGGGTTTAGGTTTTAGGGTTTAGGGTTTAGGGTTTAGGGTTTAGGGTTTCTGGGAGCTCTGCTCTTGCAAGCCGCTTGTGCAAGTCTTTTGAAGAGGCCCATATGGGTGGTTGTCAAAATTATGATCCCTTTTGGGGTACCCTGAATTTTAGGTGCCGTGTCATACCAGGGATCCGAAAACCATAGTTTTGACAACCACCCATATAGGGTATAGGGCCTCCAAGTCTTCAAAAGAGGCCCATAAGGGTCCTCGAGGAATAGAAGAGGCGCCTAGAATTCAGGGTTGGGGATTCTCGGAATGCTTGTATCCTTTGTTCTCGAAGCTTGCGAGGCCTGCTAAATGCGACGTTCGGCAATGCGGTTGTGCCTTGGTGAAAAACTTGGAGATTCCCCGAAGCTGATGCTGCCATTGCTTCCAATTCTCAGCACACCGATTCTGACGCTGGGCTGTTGGCTACTCCCCTCCAAGTTCATGCCTGCCACATCATCCAGCAGGCATGGGATGTGGGCTACAGGGCTCGTGATTTGTAAGCTTCATATGCTCTTCGAATCTCTCGCGTCATTTTACCCCATGTTTTCTGTGCAAGCAAGCAACAGTCTTGTCGGCCCTGGACTCGAATTCCAAGTCTGACCTGTTCCTTGCCTACAGAGTTGTGCGCCCCTGCCCAAGACACCAACTGCAGAGAAAGGATGTTTACAAAGAGCAGCATACGGCCGAACCCCTGAAGGCCCTTTCAGGCCTCAAGTCACCACTGAGGCCCTCCAAAGTCGTTCCAAAGGGCCCCCGAAGGCTCCTGGGGTTTACGGGGCTTGGGCCCATGACCACAACAAGTGCCCCTAGCCATACCTAAACCCTGAAATCCAGAGGCAACTCATCGGAAGCCTCGACCCGTTGCCCCCACTTTGGGCCCAGGAGATGATCATGTGCATCCAGGCGGTAAAGGCTGGCCTCATCCAGGCGCGGCCTAGCCTTCCGGGCTTATAAGGATGTATATTCGGTGCGAATGATCATTTTCTCGACCTGGAACCGCAAATTTCCCTAAACATCGGCCGGCTCGCAGCGTCGGCATCTTTCGCGGTTCGTGGTTCCTGGTTCCTGGTCTTTGGCTTCAGCGCTTTCTCGGAATGCCATTGTCAACCCGCACTTTCGTCCATGGGGCCTTGAGCGCCGGGGGGGGGGGTTAGGGGGTAGGGGGAAAACCCTAAACGCGCAGATGCTTCCTCCTTTATGCTGACCCGCAACCTGTGAGTCGACGAGCGCAGCATGGAAGACCGAATCTATAAGAGCGGCGTGCCAAGCTGTAGAAACCCTGAGCTGCTCCCAAACAACATTTTTCCTCAAGCACAAGTCCCTAAATCCTAAACCCCAAACCCCAAACCCCAAACCCTAAACCCCACACCCTAAACCCTAAACCCTAACCCTAAACCCCAAACCCTAAACCCCAAACCCCTAAACCCTAAACCCCAAACCCTAAACCCTAAACCCCAAACCCTAAAGCTTACAGTCCGGAGGTTGTCCAAGGCAACCTTTTGGGCTCGGTGCTGTCGAACATCCTCCTGGCGCCCGGCCCCAGCGTGTCCGTGTAGGGTTTGTTGGGTTTAGGGTTTAGGGTTTAGGGGGTTGGGGTTTAGGGTTTCTGGGATGCACATTGCGTTGCCATGCTCGGGTGGTATCATGGCGGGTGGAGGGGGGGGGGGGGTGTATTCTACTCGCATTCAATGGGCTTTGCAGCTTTGGATCCGTAGACTTGGTGTAAGATCCGTGCTTTGGGGCCTTGCGTGCGTGTGAAATTTACCATTTTAATGGAGCTGGGAAATAAATATCATCCTCTTACAAAAGACGTCCTACATCCGGCTGTCATCATTCACTTCTCTCCAGCTGTCAGTGCACCTCTCATGGTATTGTCTCTGTCACACCTTGAGACCCCAGCTGCCTTCTTGGTACCATTCCTGCCCTTAAATACCCTCACTCTTGTTCCACAGCCTTGTTCACCCATCACACCTTGAGACCCTAACTCCCCCACACAGTTCATGCATGGGCAATGGACGCCTCAACAACGGTATCCGAGTGGGAAAAGGGATGCAACCCTAAACCCTAAACCCCAAATAGCCGCGGTCTTTCTGCAGGGAGGATCGCAGGACATCCTCACAACTTCTGCCCTTTCTTGGCAGCCCAGCGGTACCCTTTGCCCTGTTTTTGGCTCTAGGCCCCCCCCTGATACAGTAACCAACTCCAAAAAAGGGTACCCTTGTGATAATATGTCTCATATTATCACAAGTGTTCCCTTTTTTGGAGTTGGTTACTTTAATGTGACTATATACTGGGCCAACAAGTTGTTTTTTGCCTGCAGCCCTGCCCCACCTTTAGCTCCGCAAGTTTCTTCTCCACCTTGCCATTGGGTCTCGGCTTCGTTTGAGGGACCATCCAAGAGCTGAGCCCTGTTCATGTCTCTTATGCTGCAACCCTAAACCCTAAACCCTAAACCCTAAAGCCTAAGCCCTAAGCCCTAAACCCTGACTACAACAACCAAAGTTTAGAAGCATGAAAGAATCCGAGGTGCTTGGCATGGCAATCTTCGGTGCTGGGCTGAAGTGCCACAGATGCAGATTCAGGGTGGGCAGGAGTTCATGGGTCGAAACGGTTCCGAGATGTTCGGGATTCAGGATGTGAGGTGCAGTGCCCGGTGGGCTTAGCGTTAAGATGCGCAGAGCACCCCTGCAGCAATCCCTCTTCACTCTAAACTTTACACACGTCCATTCCCTCTTGATCCCGGTTCGAGAACCACGCAGCAACCTCAATCGGAGTTGAGTTTTGGCCTCGCCATTGGGCTCGTGTTTGTGTATATACGGGCTTTCATTGGGGGCTTTATGTGGTCCGGCCAATGTCCACACTAGGAGCAGAAACGCGAAACCCTAAACAACATAAGTGCGAAGCCTTGATCTGAACGCTGACAGGGAAAGGACGTGACCCGGTCTGCCTGCCCCCTCGATGTCTGCATCCGAATCGCCCTCCAGCTTGAATCGCCTTGGTTTCACGATAGCAATCCGAGAATCCACAACTGAACCCGAGAGCAAAAAGCCATCCTCGGGTCAAAGCGCGCACAGATTGCCAGGTTCCGAAACCGCCAGTTCAACGCTGTAGGCGCAGCTGATGGGATGTGCTCGCCATCGAAAGCCAGTTGAGATTCAACCTAGCAAAGCCAACAAGCCCCTAAAGTGCGGCAGCTGGAGTTGCAAGGGGTGTTGGTGTTGCGAGGCTGTGTGCTGAGAAAAGCTCGAGGCCATAACTAGTAAGACTGAGCAGGACGTCAGAGATCAAGCTCCCAGCAGCCGAAGCGCTTGACACACAAGCGCACACACCACATCAATCTGAACCGTGAACACTCATCTGAGAAGCTTCGAGAAACATGTCAATGTGCTCTTGTCTGAGTGTAATGAACCAATACTCCCTAAACCCTAAACCCTAAACCCTAAACCTAAACCCCAAACCCCAAACCCTAAACCCAATAAAGGCCAATCACTCCCTGACAGGCGCTGCGGCAAACATGACATGCCAGGCTCGAAAAAACAAGACACACAAGGACGTAATATGGGGGTCGGCATAGTTACCTATCGTATTCCCTTATGGTCCCTTTATGAATACACTATAATTGCGCCCCAAAACCCTCTTCTAATTATTCAGGCCCCTATATATTAGGCATTGGGATGTCCAGGGATACCTGGCTTTTGTCTTTTGCAGCTTGTGCGGGCTGGAGTTGGGATTTCAATATCATGTGGCTTCTCAGTTCCCTTTCTTACATAGGGTTCAGGAGATTCGGTGTGGGATTTGCAAACTTACGGTTCAGCATTCAGCGCTTCTGATCTTACGCCTTTCTGTTACTTCAGGACTCGAGCATTTGATGGTCGAAAGCGTGTGGTTACACGCTGGTTGTTGCGCTGCAGTTCTTGATGAAGGGTTCGTTATTTCACGAGGTTTTCCCATTGCTACACCTGAGCTAAACGGCTTACTCATTGCCTCGATAGACTCCTGTGACCACAACAGGGCACTTGGGGCAGGGATTCGGCGCCTCCAGCTTAGGGGCTAGAACTTGGGGTATGGTGCTTAGGCTTTGGTTTGCTGAGGCAAGAACAAGGCTCCAGCTCAGGGCTTATGAACTTGAGGGTAGATGGGGCAGTCGTGCATGGTGAGGTCTTTCAGCGCATTGAGGGTCAAAAGTCTGTGACGCACCATAGCTCCCGGGGTGGGGAAGGGGGAGGCGGGGGGGGGGGGGGGGGGGGGGGGGGTTGGTTGCGATGATGCTATGCCTCTGATACCTGTGGCTGGCTAAATGGAGAGAATACTTGAACTCATCCTTTCATAGATCACGCGTTTGTCGTTTCCGCATGATCTTCGCAAGTGTCATTCTTGGACTGTCGCGACTTCTGTTGATGTCAAAAGATGTCAAAAGGGTCAACTGTCAAGGATCTTGGGGTACGAATTGCCATCCTTGGACCTGCAATTGTCATCTTCGTCGCGTGCCAAACGTGTCATTAGTGCCAAGGTGTGTCGGGGCAGCGATCCTCCCGATTGTGGTCGTCTGGGTTTAGGGTTTAGGGTTTAAGGGTTTAGGGTCTAGGGTTTCTTAGGGGATGATGATGATGATGATGATGATGATATGATTATGATAATGATGATGATTGTACAAACAGGGACCCCACCTTCAATAGCGGAGCGTACTTATGTGCTGTGCCGTGTAATCGGCCAGTGAGGGACGACTCTCACTGCGAAGGAAGAGAAGAAAAAGAAGAAGAAGAAGATGATGATGATGATCTTGATGAAACGCCCACGAAGAGCTTTCGCTGTTCAAGCCGCTGTCGGGCCGTTCGTTGTCTAGAGGCCCGAACTGCACTTCGACGTGCAGGTGCCTGCCCCATGCTGCCCGGATCTCGCCCAAACTCGAATCCGTTTACCGCAGAAACCCCAACCCCTCTAGTTCCTGTACTGATTGAGTCTCGGAACCTGGACCTAGAACCATGGGAAGTCGAAAAAACCACCCCCCCAACCCCTCCCCCCAACCCCCTCCCCCCAACCCAACCCCCCCCAACCCAACCCCCCCCAACCCAACCCCACCCGACCCAACCCCCCCCCCCCCCCCCCCCCCCCCCCAAACCCCCCCAACCCCCCCCAAACCCCCCCCAAACCCCCCCCAACCCAAAACCACCCCCCCCCCACTTCAAGAAGCAGGTGGTCGCCTCGATTTCGGTTTGCTTGCCAACGCTGTATGGCGAGATGGCGGGTGCAGGCCACGGCGGTTTGTTTGTTTCATGGTTCTGGGCTGGGATGTTCCCCCTTATACTTACTGACAGTCCTTAAAAGGAATTGTAGTACCCCCCCCCCCGATTATAATCCCTGTTAAGGACTGTTAAGTTAGTACAAGGGTGAACATTCCAAGATCTGGGCTTTTTCGTTTGCTGTCAGTTTTTGTTTTGGGTAGGGTTCAGGCAGGCCTCCTTTCGGATTTCCTGGCGCCAGTAGTGCATTTGCAGCTTGCAAACCCAGACTCAAAGCTGGTCGTCACTTGTCAGGGTTTAGGGTTTAGCGTTTAGGGTTTAGGGTTTAGGGTAAGGGCAACGTTTTCGTTTACGAGTGCAGATATCTGCGGCGTGATTTACAAATATGGTGCTTCAGGCTTGGTTCGGGTCAATTGCTGCCAAGAACTGTCAGGCAGCGAGCAGATCTTGATGATCTCTCGGATTTGCTCCGTCTGCCTTTGCATCGTGTACTTTTTCTTCCTGCCTCATGGCGGCAGCGGGATGGAGAACCTCTGTATGCATCGGTGTACTGGTATGTTAGGCTTCTAACCCAAATCCGCATGCTCGAGTGAAACTTGCTGCCCCTCAGAACAGGCATGTGTGCGTTGCTTTGGAAACTTACAATTTGCATCCTCGCTTGCGCTTCTGGACATTCCGGATGAGCCGGGGATACTAGCCACCAACATGCTCCCCAACAGCAACCGCAACGACCGGCCGACGCCCAGGTTCTTTCAACTCATCACGCACGCGAACCTTTTCGTGGACGAGGAGGGCGAGGAGGAAGGCCGATCCCCTCGATCCACCAAGGACGTTGGTTTTTCTGCCAACACTCTTCGCAAAATAGGGCCCTCTCCTGCAGGGCAAAAGAACCCTAAACCCTAAACCCTAAAAAACTTCGGGCATATGGCTCCAAGATTCTGGGATCGATTTTAGGCCCTCAAGTGTCCAGCAGAAATCCAGAATGTGGTTCGGATCGGGTGCTGGTAAAGACGGCAGAGTCCAGAGGCATGCAGACGTTGCAAGCTTTAGGGTTCAGGGTACAGGGTCTAGGGTTTAGGGTTTAGGGTTCAGGGTTTAGGGTTTAGGGTTTAGGGTTTAGGATTTTAGGGTTTAGGGTGCTGCATGGTAAGTTGTGTACGGGCCAGAACATCTCGGATCCCAGAGCGATGTTAGTTGGTTTGGGAAAGCATGATTCCGAACAGCTCGTGTGTTGAATGCTGAAAGTTCTTCCAGCAACAACCTAGTACCTCCGTGGTGTTTATAATAAATGCTACTTCCCTGGAGGTGAGGAAGCCACTCTTTCTATAGCAGGCTCAGCGACGTTGCTGCTGCTACTCGCTCGCAACTGCGTTAAAGGGTTTGCAGTCTTCCGCGCACCCTGTTGCGCGCCGCATTGCCTCGCATGGACCGTTTAGGGTTTAGGGTTTAGGGTTTGGGGTTTAGGGTTTAGGGTTTAGGGTTTTTAGGGTTTAGGGCTCCATTTTTAGGGGGGACCCTTCTGAATCAGGTACCTCATCTCGGCAGCGCGGTCAACTGAGCCGTTGCACGGTCAACCCTCCAGCCCTGACATTCGAGAAGACCACGGCACTCCCACAACAACCCTTAGGGTTTATAGGGTTTGGGTTTAATTAGGGTTTAGGGTTTAGGGTTTAGGGTTTAGGGTTTAGGGTTTAGGGTTTGGGTTTAGGGTTTAGGGTTCAGGGTTCAGGGTTTAGGGTTCAGCGTTTAGGGTTTAGGGTTTAGGGTTTAATTAGGGTTTAGGGCCAGAAGCCAAAATGGAAACCAACCGAATGCTCAGGCTTTGCACCCTCGTGGTGGCGGCCTGCTCGGAGGAGCTGGTGGACTCCATCGAAGGCGGGCCTCTACCATGTGGGATGTTCGCTCGTAGTTTAGGGTTTAGGGTTTAGGGTTTAGGGTTTAGGGTTTAGGGTTTAGGGTTTAGGGTTTAGGGTTTAGGGTTTAAGAACCCAAAACCCACTTTTTTGTAGGTTCTTATTCTAAAACCCTTATAGGATTCTTAGGTAACCTACAAACATGTAGGTTTTGGGGTCTTAAGGTAGTCCTCGAAAGCGAATATTAGTACCCCCTATTCTCATCCCTATTAAGCACTGTTAGTATAAGGAGTCCTCAATAGGGAATATAGTCCCCCCCCCCCCCCCCAGTAGAATCCCGATTTAGCACTGTCAGTATAAGGGGGAACATGCCAAGGCATACTATCTATGAACCCTCCAAAAACTGAGAGGGTTCAAGGGATTTGGGACTGCGAATGTGTGAATTCTGAATTTTCTTAGGAACTTAAAAATGAACGTTTCAGAGTTTTTAGCTTTAGGGTCTCAAGGCAGGGCTACAGTACGACTTCGGGCGTCATTTCTCTAGCATAAGGCTGCAGCCGAAGACGTGACCGAAAGAATCCCTAAACCCTAATTAAACCCTAAACCCTAAACCCAAGACCCGGGTTATAAATAAGGTGGTGATAGCTGGCAGCCGAAGTCCGAAACTGTCCGAGTAGTGTGAGATCACGGGGCAAGCATGAAGTTTGGGGCCGCACATTAAAGTCCAGTTTTTATGATGGGTCTTCTTAGGGGTTAGGGTTTAGGGTTTAGGGACAGCTTCACCTAGGATGCAGTCTGAGGTGTACTGGAGGTACCGGCCCCTTACTAATGATACACGTCGCCGATCTCGAAAGTCAATGCAGAGGACTTCAGGGGAATGGTGTAGCCTGTAGCCGACGGTGTGCAGGCATAGCACAATGTAAATTTGCCTCCGCTTTTGTACTCCGTAGTAGGAAATGTGGTCGTAGGTTTCTGGAAGCCCATCCAGGTCGCTGTTTTGCGCACCAAGATTGTTGAATCTGCCTAAAAAGCAGCAAAGCGCCGTTGGCCCCACGTCCTAAAAACTCTTAAAGCCAACTCAGCACGTCGGAGGTGTGTCAACGAACTTCGGTTTGCCGAAAGCGTTCATCGGCGTGATCCTGCTACCAATTGTAGGCGGCTTGGCACGATAGACGCCTACAACTCCCGAGAAACTCACCCTAAACCCGAAACCCTAAACCCTAAACTCCAAACCCTAAACCCTAAACCCTCTGTGTTCAGGGTTTGATGCTTGGTGTAGGCTTGAGTTGGGTTTGTGTGTCATGAGCTCTTGGCAAGGGTTATAGAGTGAAGAACCTTCAAGTTCCCCGTCATTCTCCGCTGGTGTCGGTGCAGCTTGGTTGACTTCGGCTGAATGTCCACGGGGGTAGACACCCTAAACCCTAAACCTTAAACCTTAAACCTTAAACCCTAAACTCCCGCAAGGGTGCTATGCCACTATCATTCCTTACCCTTTTTAAGTGCTATTCCGTGATCTGAGGCAACGCTGCCGAGCACGCCACAGCGGTCACGTCGGCTTACAAAGGAAAGTTGGACCTGGCGATAGGCTGGGCATGAGTTAGGGGTTCATGACAATAAGCCCCAAGAATATGAGATATTCTCTCCAGAGCTTAGTTTGAAGGAGTTGAGGTTCGCCTTCTTCTGGAGCAGTAGGACTCAGCATCATGCCGCGCAGTGCAATAGCGCACCCTCTCTCAAGCCGTAGAAGTGCCAGCACAGCTGCTGAAAAGTAAGTCATCGTGCAAAGCTTGTGTATGCAACATTATGCAAGTGTGCAGAACTTGTTAGCCCTAAACCCTAAACCTTAAACCCCAAACCCTCAACCCTAAGCCACCCTGCAGCGCAGGACTCTGGGGCCTCTAGGGCAATACAAGCACTCCGCGAGTACCGCCAACAATCCCATTTCCCGGAAAGGAGTGGCCGTGGGCTCCTCCACACAGATTGCCCTCTTTGTGGTGCCTGTGGCCGTTCTTGCCGGCTGGGCTTACGGCACATTTGCCTGCATCAGTTAGCAACCTGAGCTGATGAACTGCTGGCATCCACTGGCAGTCGCAAGCCAAGCCAAGCTGTAGCTGAAGAACCGCGGCACTGCAGAGGGAAACTCGAAGTTTCCGGCAATGTCTCCAGCAGATGACCCGCAGCAGACCCAGAAGCCTGACAACTAAGTCCAACCCTTTTTAGGGATTTAGGGGTTATAGGGGTCTAGGGTTTTTAGCGATTTAGGGTTTTTTGTTTGAATATAGGCTTCCAGCTTCAAGCCGCACAAGGTGCAGTATGGCAGAAGTAGGCCGAGACCGCTGAATTTGTAGATGTCTATGCGCTCAGGCACGCCCATGTCTCTGAACTTCCGACTCTTCGATACCGCCTGTCAGATGCTCAGCGTCTTCCTGGTCTCCCAGGCGGGCCTAAACCCTAAACCCTAAACCCTAAAGCCTAAAGCCTAAACCCTAAACCCTGAACCCTAAACCCTAAACCCTAAACCCTAAACCCTAAACCCTAAACCCTAAACCCTAAACCCTAAACCCTAAACCCTGAACCGTTACCGATGTCTCAGGCTCTAGGCGTTTTGGTCAAGGGCAGGTCACCATGAGTCATTTTTGTTGTTCTGAGGGCTGCCTCATATGAAAGAACACCTCAAACTGATCCAGGCTACCGCTTTCAGGCATGACATTCCTCTTAATGTCCGAAAACTTCGTCACAAAATCCGAAGTAGGCACCGGGCTAGCAAGCGGATTAGCGAGCCAATGCGTGAGCCAATGCTCATGTCAACATAAAATGCGCAGATTCCGTGGTGCTTGTTTGGATCCTCAGCCCAGAAAGAGGCATATTAGGCGAAAGCTCCACGAAAGTTCCGCGCAAGTCTGCGGCCCTACCCCCATCCCTAAACCTACCCATGCTCAACTACCGAAGCGCAGCAGTCAAAACTGAGAAGGCCGCCAGGCCCGCCCCGGGGGCCTGCAATCCCTCACGACCCAATGCTTATCGAAGGTAAGGCCAATCGGGTACTGGAGCAGCAATGAATCCGTCGCAACTGCGATTTTGCACTTAGGCCTAGAGGTGAGGGTGGGTTAAGCCTGAGTACAGCGAAAACCCTAAACCCTAGACCCGAAACCCTAAACCCTAAACCCTAAGAGCCCCCCAAAGTGTAGGTGCTGCAGCATGGGAACACGAACTGGCTCCATGGCGCCATGCTTGTGACCACCTACTGCACCCGGGCCTGAAGGTTTTAGGGTTTGTCGTTTAGGGTTGGGTTGAGGGTTGAGGGTTGAGGGTTGAGGGTTGAGGGTTTAGGGTTTAGGGTTTAGGGTTTAGGGTTTAGGGTTTAGGGTCCCAAGTTTGTGGTGTTGTGAGGTGCCGTTGTTGGTTCGGATGATTGTTTTGAAGTAGAAGATGAAGCTACCCGTGCAAGGACTCGCCACCGCTCCCCCAACAGCCGCCCCTCCGGGCTGTGTCCCGCTGTTTTTGCCTTTGTCTGCGAGGTTTGATTGCCATCATGACTTGGTTCATTCCTGAGAGCACTTGAAGGTGCAAACGGGCTGATCCGTAGAATGCAATGACATGGACATAAAGCCTTGTCTGTCTTACTTATGTGCGAGTCGCCCGAGTACCCCGGAAGGGTTCACTGCACCCCCCTAAGCACCAGCATCAGCAACAAAAAGACATAGTTTCCGGTCGCTGCGTCTGTTGAGTATTCGGGCGATGGCTATGCCAACTCATAGCCCAATTCACCACGTCTGTTTCACAATTGCTCTTCTCACAGCAATGACTTGAGCAACGGGATCGGTCTGGGTTCCATGGAGATTTCAAGGTCCAGGTTTCAGGGTTTCTCGGGCTGGCTGCAGGTCACGGCAAAGCACTGTGGCAGCTGTTTCAGAGAACGTCGCGACCGCTGTATGGGTTGATGGTTGGAGTCGAGGTGGTACAAGAAAAAAGGTGTGAACGATGGGTCATGCCGGCCAGAACTTGGCTGAGTTAATGAGCATGCAATCGAATCCCTGCCTCGACAGTCCCGGTTGCAGATGCCAAGCGTTGCTTGAATCTTTTGAGGCTCAGAGCGGCTACAGCGTCCAAGGCACACGGCTCCGAGACTCTGGTGGTTGCTGGTTGTTTGCATTGGCGTGCAGCGGGAGCCGCTCGAATCTGAAGTTTTAGATATTTTGTCACATGTGCACTTCTTGCCGGAGGTCAGTGTTCTTACTACCATTGTCACAACTACGAACGCTCAAGCTGCTCTTGCTAGTTTCTTCAACTTTGTTTTTGGTTCAATCCCTTGTAATATCTCCATGCGTAGGGTTGCGTTCGTGGCCAACAATGCCACCACTATCACCAGCATCATGCCAGTTGTGATATTTGGGCGCGTCGAAGAATTGTACAAACAAAGGCCAGTTGAGTTCCTTGCATTTCCTGGCTCTTAGAGAGCCATGCAGCAAACAACCACTTGGGGTATAATCGCCTCGACTTGACCTACGTGTGAGTGCAGGTCGACATCTACGGCCGGCCAATTTGCACTGACGGCACGCTTGCATACCATTCCACACAGATACGAGTTGAGGTCTTGGGTTTGGTGTTGGCAGGGTTGTGTTTGGTCTGGAGCTTCTGAGCCAGGAGTGTTGCCGAATAGTTGAGCCACCCTAAACCCTAAACCCTAAACCCTATACCCTATACCCTATACCCTAAACCCTAAACCCTAAACCCTAAACCCTAAACCCACCAAAAACATCGGCCCACCCAACCGAAGAACTTCTGGCCGTGACAAATAGAGCCGCGCTCTTGCAAAGTCCCTCCCGGCTGTGGAGCCTTTCGACATGCAACTCAACCCTCGTCATCTCAAGCCCTTAAGATGCCCAAGTATTCACGTAGAGTTTAGGGTTTAGGGTTTAGGTTTTAGGGTTTACCCTACAGGGAGGTTCGTGAAGTCCTAAGCTCTCAACCCTGAGCCTCATACCACAGAAACAGAGCTTCGAGCACGTGTAATCGTACTTCCATGCTCGACTCCGGAGACGCTTGAATCGACCTGCGAGGCCTCGACGGAGAGGAGGGCCCCGATGTGCACGAGTTTGTGGTCATCCAGCCTGGTTGCGGGAGGGGGGGGGGGGGTTCCTTTGCATTGCGTAGAGGCAAAAGGGATGGACAGTGTCCCTGCATCACCATTGACTTTCACTCCAGTTCTGTAAGTTATGCTCTCTCTCTCTCTCTATATACATATGGGTCACCGCCTATAGCGGTTCCACTGTGTTTTTGCAGATTCCCTCGAAAAATAAGGCGAACAGCAACAGGCGGACGCCCATACATATACATATATATATATATGTGTATATGTATCGTGTATAAATAAATAAATATAAATATAAATACAGGTAAATAAAAAAATATATATATACATATGTATATGTACATATTAGAGCAGTTTTCATTGCGGCTCAAGCTGGGGAACACAAGGTTGGGGCATCTGGTCGCATGTCGTGAATGAGCTCTTTGTGCAAAACGAACTAGAATGTAAGGATGCTGCCCGGCGGTATCCGGTGGAGTTCATCCTTTAGCCCCGGCTTACCCACGACCGACTAACACATTTCGCCTTCAAAAACAAACTACTCAACCCCTAAGGCCCTAGAGACACAGCTTCAAACTCATCTATTTCATCTATTCCTGGGGTTTATGAGTGTTATGTGTCCGAACCTATCACCTCAAGCATGCCCTGCACTTCCACAAGGTTCCGCGCACGCTTCCGTAAGGCCAACATGGTATGTCAATCGGAGGGTGCGTAGCACATGAACACGAAACATGTTTCAATGACGACGTACGTGTATGCATCTTCAAGTTCAGGGCTTTGAAGATCTCGCTACAGTTGCCTTTCTAAGATCGAACCCGAATGCAAAGATTCCAAACTCTTTGAATGTGAGGCATGGGCCTTGATCAACCCACCTGAGAATGTGAGAATGCACAACGCAGAACCCCCTTAAACCCTGAAGCAAAGCATCTCCCCATAGACCCCAAGCCCACATCCCGCATCCAATAGCAACCCAGGCCCGCTGGAACACACACTTTTGAATGATCTGTAGAGGGATCTTTCAGAAAAAAAGGCTGCGGCCTTCGCTTGTTTGAAACCCCCAAAGACTGAAGCCTCAACCGAAAAAGCAGTTGCGCTTGAAGCTCCAACGCCTAGAGAGAGTTGGAGCTTCAACACCCCCATGTGGAGCAACATCTCCCCCCCCCCCCCTCCCCCCCCCTCCCCCCCCAACATCCAACAAGCCAGAAGTGCCGAAGCTTTGCATCCCGCCAGGTCAAGGTTTTCTCTGTTCACTCCAGCCCCGTCCTTGGGAACGGGCTCTGATCCCAAAGACCTGGGAGTCAGGTTTGTTTTGGAGTAGGGTTTAGGGCTTAGAGCTTCTATTGTAGTTCCTGAATGGCACAGCAACAAGGTTCCAGATGTGCTTATTGCTGAAATGGTCTTCATGCTTTTGCTTTTTGCTTGCTTTCTCTTGCTTTTAGCCACTGCGCCTTTTTTTGCGGCTGGAAACATGGTAAAGCCTGGGCTGGGTTTCGGATCGTCTTGTAGCGCTGGGCTTTAGGGGCATTCGGGGATGGAAAGCCCTCAGAAGCCTAACCCTGTGACGGAGGGTTGGGGCGGGAGGTGAGAGGGTTGAGAGGGCGATGGCTTCAGGGCGGAACTCGTGCTTTGATTTTTTTTTGCTCATGGGCGTCATGGACATTGGTTTCATGGTTCAGGTCCTATACCACATTTTGGTGTTTAAGCTTGAAGACGTTACAAGTCTCCAATTTCCTGTTTCCAACTCCCACCTCACCTCACCAAGCTGTACATTCGCAAAAAATTCCCAGCAATGCAAATCGACGGAAGCCACGAGGCCCTTGAACATTTAATCCTAACCCTACTGACCACAGATCCTGGAAAGCCCTTCGCCACCACAATGCCTTGAAGACGGCAAACCCTGAAGCCCGACAAGCACCATCGGGAGGTCAAGACCCACAAGCTCCGTGGAGCAACAAGCCCCAGGAGGCCCTGAGTATCTTTAATCAGCGAATACACTTGTGTATAACACATATACATGGTGTGCATGTGTGTGTGTGTGTGCCTGTGTGTGCGCGCGCGTGTGCGTGTATGTGTATGTGTTGGGGCTTAGGCTTTGGGCTGGGGATTATCAAAAGCGCTTGCACTTTGGCCTATGGGGAGTTGTCAAAATTATGGTCCCTTCTTGGCTCCCTATTATAATACGGCACCTAATATTTAGGGTACCCCAAAAGGGATCATAATTTTGACACAGTTTCTCAAATCATTGCAGTACGAGATAAAGGTAGCAGGCTGGTAGCAAGCAGAGGTTGGGGGCGGGGCAGCAGACGAGGAGCTCAGGGTTATAAGGGGATGCAAAGGCAAAGGTGACCAAAGTTGCCTGCAAAACTAAATTCTTCATGTGCTCGGACAAGCAGCCAACTCAATCAAACTCAATCAAACTCAGTCAAACTCAATCAAACTCAGTATCCAGGCTCGGGCGTACCCTGTAGACCCTACACGTGAACCTCGACGATTCCACCTCAAGCACCGCAGTCGCCCAATGCCCAAAGCCGACCGTCCAAACAGCTTGTACGAGCTGGAAGCGAGGCTGCTGAGCATGGCCTTGATGCGATCAGCGAGGGTTTAGGGGTTAAGGGTTTCGGGTTTAGGGTTTAGGGTTTAGGGCCCAGGACAATCTTGCAAGTAAAGAAATGGGGGCTTACGATATTCGGACGTACCTTGTTGGGATCCTCATTCTACAGGAGATCCCACCACTTGGGGGGGACTCTACTAGGGGCCCCTTATGTTCGTAAAACCCCCAAATGACCTTCGCAGCTCAAAGGCTGCCAAATGACCAAATGGCCCTGTGGAGGAGACCTCCGGATCGGGTTGTGCCATCCTCCATGAAGGCAACGAGCGCCCTGGCGAAAGGCTTCAGATTTCGCATGTTGGGGTTGAGTGTTTTCGCTTGGGGCTTCGCTTTTGCAGGTTCGTTGCGTAGCCTCGGTTACGGGAGTCTGATATGATGGCTGCAGTGATGCTTGCATCTGTATAGTGTGAGTATGCGGAGCGGTTGCTGAAGGGTTGCTCTCCGTACTCTCTGTTACACCCGAGCCTTTCTACACATTCCCGGCAGCAGATGCTGCACCTTCAGGTCAGGCCTGAAGACTTCTCCAAGTCCCAGCTTGCGCTTCCGAAACAACAAAGCCCCTTGCGGAGCCTCAGGCACAAATCCTAGTTTCTCTAAAGGACAAGGAATATTCGGGGCTTAATGAAGCTCATTGAGAGCATCCACACCGAGAATCACATCAACAACCGGTCTTCAGGTGCATTCTCACGAATGCCCACGTGGTTGCGGATGCCACGTATGTTGAGGTCGGGTCGCATACATGACTGCATGTCCCCTGTCGATGCGTGCGACATCCCACAGGCCTTCAACCCACCCTCCACCCCTGCTCCTCCCCTCCCGGTTTAGGCTTTAGGGCTTAGGGTTTAGGGTCCAAGGCAGTTCCATGAGGGGGCGACCGCGGGAAGCAGACGCATAGATGTTCCCAAAGTTTGCTACCACCATTTTGTCATAAGCCTGTACCGCAAGGACACACTGTTATTGTATAGAGCTCGCGCACGAGTTGAGAGTACAAAGTTCCATTCAGTTTCGCCTGCTTTTAATAAAAACACTTTGTTCGCGCGATACAAACGTACCAGATTTCATGCTCGTTGGTAGGGTGGCGTGCTGCTGCGGCAAGCTTTCGTGACAAAAATGCTCTCCACACACCCCTCCGGAACACTTCCAAGGGCTTGCATAGGGGCCTGCCCTCAAGGAGCGAAGTCCACACCCTGCAAAGTGTCCGTCAATTCCAGACATGCCTTTAGATCAGAACATTTCCTCAACCTTTCAGCATTAACCTTCTTACTGATTTTAGGTCAGAATGTCATGAAGGTTTTAGAGAACCACGCGGGCGTCACGCACAGCACTGCGCCACACATTGCATCCTAAGGGTCTCTCTATCTCCCTGAACCGCCGAAGACTCATGAAGTCCCTAGAGCATGAGACCTGCATGCCCCTGAGGCAGAATAGAACTATATCCCCCTTGGGAATTATTATATTGTTTTTAATATTTTTGTGTATATAAATCCCAAGAGGATATTAAACATGTTGTTTTTCTTACGGTTGTAAGGGGAGTATAGAGACGTGCAGCAGTTCATCTGCACCTAGACAACCCTAAACCCGAAGCCCTAAACGCTAAACCCCGAACCCTAAACCCTAAACCCTAAACCCTAAACCCTAAACCCTAAACCCTCTCCACCTCCATCTCTTGAGGTGCGGAAGGCTGGGGATGCCACGAAGTACCCGGCGCGCTTGGGGTTGGGATGGTATAGGGTTTAGGGTTTGGGGTTTAGGGTTTAGGGTTTAGGGTTTGGGTTTAGGGTTTAGGGTTTGGGGTTTGGGGTTTGGGATGGATTTCGGGCGATGGGTGGGGATCTGAAGAAGTTTTCAGAGTGCAAAGCCCGGTGGGCTTTTCGTTTTCTTGTCCCTGCATAAAGTCACGCAGTGAGCATCAGAGTTTGGGGGCTCAGGTGTCACCCTTTCCGAACGGCAATCCGACACCTCTTCGTGGCTGTGTTGCAGCACTTGGGACTTTAAGGGGTGTAGATCTTTGGCAAGCCGTGCAATCTTTTTGAAACCCATCATGCGATCATTGTGGTTGAAACGCGTCCGCCAAGGTTGGAGTTTTTTTCTTTGCTTAGCCTTGGCTACAAGGGGGTCTCACAGCCACAGCTAAGCAAACAGAAACGCGTCCGTCAAGGTTGGAGGTTTTGTTTTGCCTATAGCTCGAGCCCGGAGAGACAGCCGCGGCTAAGCAAAAGCAATACAAAAAATCGCACTGTCACCGCCACGGCTAAGCCAAAACAAAGCCCCCGCCAGCTATGCAGGTATTTGCACATGTAGCAAATGGACTTCGTCGGGTAGACTTCATCTTCTACAATCCAAAATTCTGTTCGAGGCATGAGATGTTCGGTCAGGGTCAAGGCGACAGTGTGCTAGATGAGACACATTTGTGGGCTCCTATAGTCGAGTCGATGGGGACAACCGCAGGGACTTCGAAGAATTTGTTGTGGCGTCTTGTGTTCAAGGCCCACAATTTCCTGGTCTGTGTCTCAGGACATCAGTTAGAATCCAGTTCAGTTGTGCAGACATCCAGACGTGCAGGCGCAACGTGTGAAAACATCACACGAGTGCGACCTGGCTTTGCTCCGCCCGTGGCTCAAGAGGGTTCCTTGTCCAATGGAAACCCCGCCCGAGACCTAGACCCGTACTATCGTGTTGAATTGAAATTTGTTGAGGTTGTTGGCTTCGGTAGAAGTGAGTATGTGAGTCCGAGGCCTGCAAGGGTTCATGGGCTGCACAAGATCTCACTGACTTGGATGGATGCACGGGCTTTGAGATGCAGGGGTGAACCATGTTGTGGTTCGGTGTGTTTTTGCGCCTGGGCTTGGAGGCATTTAAGAGAACATCCCCAACCATGAAGGTGGCAAGCGCATGACAAATTTGACACTTGCCACGGCACTGGCAACAGGCTTGCCTCGTGTACCCGCCATGCCACGATGGCTCGAAAGGTCTTGGATGGCAGCTGCGTAATAGGCATGTTACAAGTGTCTGAACTGATCCGCATGTTCAACAAATTTCAACTTTTGTGAGTGCAGCTGTTTGCATTTCTGGTGGTTCTCAGTCGCCTCCTGGTTGGCCGCAGAAGGGCCGACATGCTTTTGGAGCTTTGCTTGGCGGCTGCGGGCGTATGCACGCTGCAGATGGCCTGGAACTTCTTCTGCAAGGCGAAGATGCGGGGGCCCTACTTGCCGTTACTTTGATTAGGGTTTAGGAGGGTTTAGGGTCTAGGGTCTAGGGTTTAGGGGTTAGGGTTTAGGGTTTAGGGTTTAGGGTTTAGGGTTGCCAGCTGCAGTTCTTGCGCAGCCCATCGCCTCAAGGTCTGTTGCGGGCAAGCATGTGCTCATCACGGGCGGCTCCCAGGGCCTGGGGCCTCTCGACAAACGCGGGGTTTGGGAAGTTTAGGGGTGGAAGGCTGAGGACGCGTTCTTGGCCCAGACGTCTGGAATAGGTTTTCCATCATGTATTTGCAATCATGTATAAAGAATGTACATCATATGCTACACACTCCACATGCTGATCTCTTTGAGGCTTGCCTTTGCAAAGCTTTGCTTCACTCGGGGCGCAAGAGTGACGATCGTCTCCCGCACAAAAGCAAAGCTTGAGCACCTCGGACCACTGGGGAGTCAAGAGCGTTTTGGGTTTAGTGATTTTTTGCGTTTGGTCTTTCTCGGGGTTTGAACAGCAGGTTCGTGTGGTAGAGCAGGGGTGAGCAAAAACCCTGCGCACTGAACGGACATTTGGCTTCGAGCTGTTTGTGTTGGTCGGGTCGCTTAGCAAGAGCATGTTGTATCCAGTCTGCGCGCGAGCAAAGGCAAGCTTGTGATGAGATTCGGAGTCAGAGCTCTGCGGCAGGACTCGGACTGAAGTTTGGGTCGTGTTCTGTGCTCCCTGATGCGACTTCCCAGCGTGGACATGTCCTGACCCGCGCAATCCCCCGTCTTCCCTGTCATTTAACGCTGGTGCCTTCCAACGAAGCATGTTGAGGATTCTGTGAGGTATTGTGAGCTTGCCACAACTTATCCTCACTCAGCATGCAAGGCTCTACCATCAATGCACTGTGCTTCCGGGTCGACAGGCTTTCTGATTTCTTGCTTTTGCATTGAGTAGCCGGAGCCCCACTCCTGCTTGCACATCCTCCTTGCGCTGCAGCTCCCGTAGTCCCGGACCTTTGCATCACCTTAGATCACCGCACCCCAGATTCTTCACAACTCACAGCCCTGGTCGAGGAGGCAAGGTCCAATACCTGGAGATGGACGTTTCCAACATGAAATGCCCGGGTCTGAGATTGAGGGCTCTGGTAGTTTCGCAGCTTTCTCGTGCTTGGAGGGGGCGTTCTGGCGGGAGCGTTCTGGCTTTAATACTTGTTCACATTACCCATCGTTGGTTTCTTAGGGTTGTGGGGCAGTTGCTGTTTTGGAGTTGGGTTTGGCGACTTAAGATACCTGGTGGTATGCGAGCCTGTGTTTTTGGCCATGATCAAGAAGGTTTTACTTGCAGCAACACCTAGGAAGACTTACAGGGTACTGGCAGGAGGATGTCCTGGGTCTCTCGGACGTGAAGAGGGAGCCTCTGCCCTCAAGTGCAAGGCATCAACTTCTCTCAGCTCATGGGTCGTGCCGCTGACACCTTCGGGCGCGTGGACGTGGTGGTGGCCAATGCTGGCACAGGTCGGACGAGTTCTTTCATGCCTGTATACACATGTCATAACATCTATGTGACCAGCATCTACAGGTATGTACTACCGTACCTAAACGACTCATTCCATAATTCCCATTCGTTTAGGATCAAGCGCCAAATTTATGCCCCATTCTTGAAGATTTAGGGGTCCCTCTTGTTAAGATTTATGGAAGCCCATCTTGATGGACTTTGGAGCTTTAGTCAGTTCAGGGAATAATATGTATTGCTAGTCCTTGTAGGATTTAAGGACCCCACGCTTTAGGCCTTAGGGAATCAGCTTGAAGGAATAAGATTTCAGGGATCACTCGTTAGGAATAGCGAGAAGGATTCGGGAGTAGGATGCCTTTATGATTTGTCAGGATTTAGTGACCCCCTCTTTGGGGTGTAGGGAAGAGGAAGATTAGGGGAGTAAAGGCTTAGGGAATAAGATTTGTATTGTTCAGGGATTTAGCGAAAAGGATGTAGAGAATAGGATTCGGCCTTTGGGACGTTAAACGAAGCCACAGAAAACATACCATGCTATAGAGGAGTTCCATATACGATACCACATATCAGCCCATGATATCTATATTTATAATATAATAAGTATAAATAGAATATGTAAAGAGTTACAGAATGCTGCAGACATGATGCTCCGAGGCTCAAACCTTTTTTTTTGCAAGCAAGGCGACCTTTGGCTTCCTTTCCGAAGACCTGAGGCAGTGAACCCCTGATGTGGGAGTTTACGAGAATAAGGGACCCTTACTTTGTGGTGCTTTACTGCTTTACTGTAACTTTAGATCCTCAGCTTTAAAAATAAGGCAGCCAAAAAAAATTATAACTACCCTCCTAAGTGCAGCCAAGCTTAATACAGACCCCCCAAAATCGTAGGATTCCCTTATCATACGGACCCCAAGAAGGTTCCCGGAATTCGGAGAAAAAAACCCACACTGCCGTGCACAGGTGTTGCGAAGCTGCTGATTGGGCCCGAGCTGAGTGACCTCGATGAGTTGATGGAGGCACGGACTTACTCTATCCCCCTTGGGAATTAGGTTCTATTTTTTTAATTTAAATCCCAAGAGGATATTGAAAATATTTGTTTTATTGAGGTTCTAAGGGGAGTATAGCTTGCACACAGGGTTATATGATGGGCGCTGAATTTCAGCGACTCGAGGCCCTGAACCGTGGGAGATAAGACTCGCCGAAATCTAACAGGCCATGGCAACACGTCTAAAGCAGGACCCTGACAACACTGCACATGCGTGGCTTTCGCTTCCCGCATCGCTTGGAGGCTTCGGGCAGGATGTCTTCGCTGTAGTAGTAGAGTCTGTTGGGGGTAGCATCGTACGGCCCCCCGACATCTTGACGGCCTCACAGGCGCAGATCTCAACCAATCTCTTAGGCAGCCTGCGATGCGCGTCCAGCCTGATAAGTGGACTTCAGGTCTGGGGCTACAGGGTTCAGGGTTCAGGGTTTAGGGTTTAGGAAACCACAGTGGTTTACTCCACTTTCTGTGTATGTGGTCTTGTGAATGCTTGGACAGTTCAGGGCACAGGAAGGCACATCTGCCAAGCAGCTACTTCAATCGCTTGGAGGCTAGTGTGTAGGGCAGCGCCTGGTGTGATGCATTGAGTTCGGGGTCTGGCCTGGAGTCCGGGTTTGGTTTGGAAGTTGAGGCTGCTGGGCGTGGGCCTCGTGAGAGGTTCTTTCGGTGTAATTTGGGCGGGGGTCGGCGGGGGCGGGGGGTGGGGGGTCGGGTGGGCGGGGTGGGGGGAACAAGAGTTTTGACTCATATCCTCATCTAAATATTCGCCTGGCGACGTCAAGACTCAAATGAACCCTGGCTATTTCGGACACTTGAGCCAGTCTAAGTCCTGAACAAACACAACCGCTGGAGCCTAAGCCTGATAACTCTACGCCCAGGCGATAGCTGCTGGGCAGGTGATGGCCAGTGATGGACAAGGAGCGATAGGAGTAAGTAGCTACCAGTAGATGACAGTAGCTAGTTGTAGGCAGAAATGAACAGGCCAGATCAAGTAACAGTAGGCAACGGTAGGTATCGGCAGGTATCGGCAGGTACTGAGTACTACTAGGTGCGGGTAGGTATAGTAGTCTTCTTGTAGGACCTCGTAGGCACCAGTAGGTGGTGGTGGTGGTGGTGGTGGTAGTCATCGTCGTTGTAGTAGCTACTGCTCAGGAGGCCGAATTTGCATCGTGTCTTCCGCGGCGGGCTTGATTTCCTTGCCAGGCGACTACCTTGCAGACACAGGTAACGAAAGGTTGAGGTTCAAGGGTTTCTGTGGCTTCGGGGTTTTTCTGCGAACCCGAACCCGGTGGATGCACGATCTCGAAAACTTTCTCGCGCAGGCAAGTTTTTAGTATTCGCCCTAGGGGTAATTCAACTCAGGGATGCTGCTGAGGGTGTCATTGTCCTTTGAGGAGAAGATACTCTTTTGGTGTTGCATGTGTTGTTGCTGCTGTTTATGCTCGTGGTGCGCGCAAGACGCATGATGCAGTTCTGGCTGTTGGATTGTTCGTGCTGCGGCTATGGCCGCCGGTGCGGCCATTGTTGTCCTCCTTGTTGTCATTGTCGGCGTCGCGAGTTGTTGTCGTCATTGTTGTGGTGGTTGTTGGTTGTTGTTGCTTTTTGTTGGTTCTTGTTGGCTCTTGCACAAATTGTGGGCTTTGTCATCACATTACTCAGATAGGACAAACGTGGCAGCATACGTTCCCTTTGTTTTCGAGGAGGAACAGCCATGTTTCTTCAAAGCCCACGTCCCAATCATTGCACGCTTCAACGCCCGTAAATAAATCTCGAAAGGCTATTCCATCTACTCGGCCACCAAGTTTGGACATCGAGGCGGCTTTCCCTCGGGCAGCATTTTTGAGTTCTTGCATGTTGAGGGTGACAATGATGTTTTTGAGCTGTCTGAGTCTAGATTACTATGCTTGCCAGTATCTTCACAAGCATCATTGGTAAGTAGAAGTCCTGAACCGATTGTGTTTATCGTGTTAGAAGCATCGAGACAGGGGTGACATGCAGGTACAGACGCTTGTCTGACTTTTGGGAGGGAGTGACATGGTTCTTCAATACCCCAACTCTCAAGCGTTCAGCCGAGCCTGGACTCGACCAAAGACATATGACAGCAGTCAAGGCAGGAAACGGAGTAGGGCGGCTTTGAAAGCGTGCACTCACGCCTGACATGTTCTTCAAGCCTCCATCTGCGGCCGAAGACTGGAACCCTCAGTCCATCACGAGGCTCACGTCCCTAAACCCTAAACCCTAAACACTAGACCCTAAACCCTAAACCCTAAACCCTAAACCCTAAACCCTAAACCCTCATCCGCAGGTTTTTTAGTTTACTGAGCTTTCGCGTGTTCACCACATTAGCGGGCTCGTTGCCCTTCACCTTGAGCTCGAGTCAAATCCCTATACGCCCTTTCGACAGCCCAAGCCTTGCGTGCTCTGACTTAATAAAAACCCTAGGCGAAAAGCCACATTGATCCAATTGGACCCTTCAAGATGGGGAGAGGTTTCCTGGCCGGTGCATATCACGAGCTGCGCCGACACGGAGTCCACCTGTCAGTTTACTACCCGGGAAGCTCCTCACTCTTACACTGGGATAGCCCTTGGGTTCTCTTGGGATGTGTGGCCTTGTGGACTGGAGTTTGCATCCGGTGTTGAGAGGCGGGGTTAGCATTGTAAGAGCTGAACCAATCCGATCTTGCCGAACTCGAACTTGTAGCTCAGGTATCAACACTCCGGGCTTCTTGGAAGAGAAGAGACAAATGCCGCCGGTCACCCTGAGGACGGACTTTCCAAGCCCTGAACCTGGAAGTCCATCTTCTCGACTACCGAAAGTATTGTTAGAAAAAATAGTGCCAAGCCCATGTTATCCCATCATGTGAGTAGGCCTTGCATCTGAAACCTTTGAGTATACTGGGTGGACCGTGCACTGCCACGATCCACCCTCCCAAAACGTCCTGCCCAGGCAACAGCAACTACGCATTTATGGCCCACTCTTGGTTGTGTGCACATGGCCTGCATTGCATGTAGACTTAAACCCCTGCAGGAACCTGAATTATGTCCACCCAAGTCACGTCCCGTGTGCCAGACTCTTAGGCAACAATGCTTGACAGCCCTCTGCTGAGTGGGTTCCAGCTGCCAAGCATCGTGAATTGCCCAAAAAGTGAACCCCCGCAGTTCAATCGGGCCCATTGACGCGAGGATTGAGTCGCAGTGCTCCGATGCTCCTTGCAAAGCAAAGTCGAGTACGCAAGGCTTCACTTTCGTCAGTGCACATGGGATTTGCGATTGCAGCCCGGGAGTTTGGGGCTATCGCAGCAAGATCCCGCTTGTGCATCAAGATTTTCCTTAAGCCTGGAAACATATTACAAGATAGTACGGAAGGCTAGGCCCTCGGCTTTTTGGGCGTTCAGAAGTTAATGGCGTAAAGGCTCATCTCCCGCATCAAATGATTGTGCAAACCCGAGTCCCGAAATATCAAGCTGCTGAGTGGCGGCCCCACAAGTTATGAGACACTGCGCCCAAAGCTGACCCCCCGAGCCTCCTAGCACATGAAGACGGAGCTTGATGACAAGGCCCTGGAGGGGCTCGGGGGCTTAACCTCCTGGTCTTGGCTTTTCGGCACTCGGGCGCTGAAGTCTAAACGGCTTCTTCAAGAAGCTTTATTGGTTTCTGGCAAAATGCTCTCGGAACTGCAGTCCTGGATTGCCTTCACAGCCCCCGCACATCCCAAGGTTTCAAGTCCAGAAAGTGTGGCGGCCATGATGCTTAGCGGGATTGAGCGCGGGACACGGGAGCCTCGGCAAGTGATCAACTCACAGTTACCCATGATTACGATAGGCAAGGCTTCAAGAAGCAGGTGCAGATTCTGATTATGCTTGCACAATTATGTTTTTCACGAGGTTCATGTGCGCTGCCCTGCTGATGTCAACCACCAATCCCCAGAACCCGCAAGTGTGCACTGTGGCCCAGTGTCAGAACGCTAAACTTGCCTCTCAGCGGCATGAGTTTGGAGCAATAGCATCAGTGGGTCGCGGCGGAAGTAGCCGAAGCAGTAGCAGCAGCGGTAGCAGTAGAAGTCCCAATAGTGCTGCATCAGCGGCAGCCGGAGTAGCAGGAGCAGTAGCAGAAGTAGCAGCAGTACTGCTGCTACCACTGCTACTACTGCTACTACTGCTACTGCTACTTCTACCACTACTAGTACCAGTCCTTGTGCCAGTGCCCGAGCCAGTGGTCGTGGTGGTAGTGGTAGCGGTAGTATTCTCCCAGCCGTTGAAAGCTTGGGAGCTTCAAGCTCCCAGCCCGTCCCATCAGGAGATCACCAACGAGTTGTTACCATCCTTGGTGGTGGATTCGCCGACAGGCTGCGCGCCCGTGGATGCGATCGTCGCAGCAGCAGCATGGATGCCGGAAAGACATGGTTGTGATGTTGCAAGCGGACGGTTTTTTGAAAGGCTTTCGGCTAAACAAGTCTTCAAGCCTGTAGATCAGCTCTGGCAAGCACCAGGCAGTCGTACAGTAAGTTCATGTAAGTTCTCCAAGTGTTTGGATTGATGCGCTCGGAGGGATTGAGTTTTTTTGCTGCAATCCGATCTGCAAGTTTGCATCTTTTGAAGCCCATAACTATATCCCCCTTGGGAATCATTTTTTATTCTTGTTTATATAAAACCCAAGAGGATATTTAAAAATTAATGTTTTTATTGAGCTTCTAAGGGGAGTATAGATCAGCCACCCAAGTAGTGGCCACAGGTAACGCAGTTGATCCGCGCCGGCTGGTCTCAGTATTTGCACTTGATGGCGAAGTGGCAGCTGAGATGATCTTGACAATCATTTTAGGGTATTAGGGTATTAGGGTTTAGGGTGTAGGGTTTAGGGTTTGGGGTTTAGGGTTGAGGTTTTAGGGTTTAGGGTTTGGGGTTTAGGATTTAGGTTTTAGGTTTTAGGTTTAGGGTTTGACTGTGTTGGTTTTGTGCGCGTTGTTTATATGCCAACATGCTTTTCCTTCACAGCGAAGGTACGTTCCCAACCTGGTTCGGCAGGGCGACTGACCGAAAACAAGTACGCCGTGTGCGCGGGCGATGCTTTGGGAATTGCTTAGGTGTTTTGGGGGTTCGGGAGGCCCGATTCACATCTCAAGTCAGTCTTTCAGCAGCAGTGATTGCGCCAGCGGCGTTGTGCTGTTGTTGCTTTGGGGTTCGTACATTGAGGGTAAAGGGAATGAAGTCGAACGATGAACTTTCTCGGTGTTTCCTCATGGCCATGCCAGGAATCATCGCATTTCAGGGCCCACAAACGTGTCCCAATCATCGTAAATAGCATCCTTTGCGTCTCACGGCGGTTGCCAAAACGTGCTTTCACCCTTAGGTGCACATTCCGTTCACGAAATCGCACCACAAACTTCCGTGCACGTTTCGATGCGCGCTTGCTCGTCCGTGTCACGAAAGCAACGTCGCAGGCGGGACGGGCTTTCCTGTCTTTGAGGCCTTGGGATGGGTTGGCTTCGTGCGTGAGTCTTGCTGGGACTTGCGAGTCTCGTGGTGTTGCGCAAGGTGTTGCGCACTTTCGCCTCAGTCCTGTGCGGATCCCTTGGAGTGCTCTCGAACTGATCTGGGAGTGAAGTTTGGGGGACATGTTGGGGTGCTGGTGCTCTTGGAATGATGTTTGAAGTGGTCTTACGTTGTTGGGGGCCTACGCCGGCTTTCTCAGGATCGCTCTTCTTTCTGACTTGAAAGCTTCAGTGACTAGTTAGCTAACATCTGCTGACCATGAATGCCACGCCTGCCTGCAGCCTCTTGTTGCTTGCGAAAACAACTTCTATAGGACCTGAAAGAAGTCAGAGGAACTTTACAGCCCCAGAAGTAGAGTCCAGGCATACAGCAAGGAAACCCTAAACCCTAAACCCTAAACCCTAAACCCTAAACCCGAAACTGACAACATAGCTAGCCCGGACATTTGTACTCGTACATTCTTGCGGGGTGCTACTAAAGCTGGCTCGACATTAGGGGCACTGCGGCTCTTCACCAGCCCTCCAACCAAGATTTAGGGTTTAGGGTTTAGGGTTTAGGGTTTAGGGTTCAACCAGCCTAAGCTTAAAATAGTTTCGCTGCCATGGTGCTGGGGCCACTGCATCTTCCTCTGGTCCTGTTGCTTCCGTTGCAGGAGGAGCCATGGCATTCCAAAACGCTTTAGAGGGTAAGGGTTTCGGGCATACTAAGCCGTAGTAGTATTTGTTGGAGATTTACACCTCGTCATTGCAATCGCGTTCCACTGCCTGCGCGTTGTGCCGGCGCCTTGGAATCCACGAACCCTTTACACGACTTGGCCACATACCCTAAACCCTAAACCCTAAACCCTAAATACACACACACACCCCATGGTGCTCCAGTGGAGGCACCTGTTAACTCAAGAAATCAAGCTTGCGCGCGGTTATTTGGGCCGGTGTTTAGATATTTTCAAGGTCTAGTGGGGCTTAGAGGGCGGCTTGCTACAGGAATGGTTTCCAACAATGAATCCCGCACCAAGACACAGAATGTAGCTTCCTGAAGTCAAGCTGTCCCTGAACAGCAGTTCTTTGTTTTGAGTGTTCGGGTTTTTTTCGCGAATTCCCAAAAGAAAGGCGAATGATCAGAAGTCAGAGTCCAGAGTTCTGAGCAATGAAGCCACACACTTCCGAAAGCCGGAGCTCCTTTAAACAGGCTTAGGGGACCCTAAAGCCCTAAACCCTAAACCCTATACCCTAAATCCTACACCCTAAACCCTAAACCCTAAACCCTATACCCGCAGAGTCATGGCTGTCCCAGGTCGCTGCCTGGCGGCATGCTGGAAGGCACGAGGAGGGCGGAAGGTGGGCGAAAGATGTCATGGGAAGGCGGCCCTAAATGTGGGGGCAAGAAGAGGCTGAGACCAGAAGTCTGAGCCCCCAAAATCCCAACTTCTCAGATCCCAAGTGCCCCCCCATGGTAGGGGATCATCCGCACTGCAGAGCTCCACGACGCTCATCCAGTCAATGTGGGGACGCTTGCCTTCTTGATGGCGGGTGCAGGTCTGGGTCGTGCATTCCAGGATTTCGGGTTGAGGGTTATGTTGACGTGGGGGGGGGGGGGGGGGGAGCAGCTGCCTGCGCTTAATGTGATTAACGCAAATCCTTGAGCCTCAAAACCTGATTCCCAAAATGTCACAACTTTCAGGGTAGGGCTTCCGGTTTCTTGATCCGCTGGTCCAAAACCGTCACTTCGGAGTCGCGCGAGCATGGCAAAGGTGAGCGGAGTGTCCATATTCAGGCTTAGTAGTAGAGTAGGTAACCTTTAACCTTTTTGGGGGAGTATACTCCCCTTATAATCCCAAAGGTTAACCTTTAGTTCCCCCAGGTTACTGGACAACAAGGCAGGGCTTCATTCACGCACATCTCGGCTTTAAGCATCAGAGAATCATCAGCGGATCGCTGCTCAAAGAGCCGCCAGCGGCCAGGCCTAAGCCCCAAAACCCTAAACCCTAAACCCTAAACCCTAAACCCTAAACCCTAAACCCTAAACCCTAAACCCTGTAAAGCCCCCAAGCCCTAAAGCCCGAACTCACTATAGGAGGCTTGCGAGGCGCAGAGTTCTGGGGTCTGTGCCCGCCAGGTTGTTGCAGAGCTGTGCGCCATTGCACCATGACCATAAAGTTGTATCTCAGTCTTCGTACCACGTATCCCTGAACCCGCAAGCCCCACTAAATCCCGACCCCATCACCTCCGGCAATCGCCATCTTAATTTTCAGGCTCGCAAGGCGTTTTAAGACTTGGACTGTACCTTTGAATGGTCATGAAAACCTAGAAATTCCAGAGTTGCATTCCATGAGGGTCGTTTTGGGACCTCCTGGCCATCCTCAACTGGGCAGCTTGAATATGCCCGTTCCCTACACGGCGACCCTCCAAGAAGTAACCCCACGCTGCCTCAAGCTTGGTGCAGAATCTCCCTAAACCCTAAACCCTAAACCCTAAACCCTAAACCCTAAACCCTAAACCCTAAACCCTAAACCCTAAACCCTAAACCCTTCAAAAGCTCCAGTAAGGTGCCTCAGAGACGACGGAGATGGAGGTCATGCTGCTCGACAGCTCGACTGGGAAGCTGTTGTGGAGTTAACACTCTCAGGGGTTTAGGGTTTAGGGTTTAGGGTTTAGGGTTTAGGGTCGGGGTAGTTGTCGTGGTTCCGGTAGGAGGTATCTTTGAGTAGTGTTGGGCCCTCTTTTTCCGGGTGCTACCCTGTTGCAGTCAAGTTTCCGGGCGGCAGGGGGGGGAGGGGGAAAGGGGGAGGGACGCTCTACAAGAATGCCTAGTTTGCAACCACCGCCTTTTGCAGCCACCGGCTGGAAATGTTCACTTTGCAACCTACGTTCTTCGTTAGTTAGCTATACCGATTAAGACAAAGTAAACTTTTAACAATCCGGTAGAGCAACCAAGCAAGCTTCAAAACGGTAACGAAGATGATGTTGCTGTCTTGTACGTTGCTGAACTGAGAACGCGCACTCTGCAACCAAGCGATGTTTCAGATCTGCATGAAGACCTTTATCGTTCGCGAGACAAGTCTTGAAAAAGGGCTACTCATCCACAATTCTTTAACATCCTTGTGTGGTTGTAAAGTGGGCGTTCTGGGAGGCATGTCAAACTGAGTTGCGGTGGTAATCGCGGAGGGCAGGGCTGTCCGTAATTGCTGTTGAGATTCCCGCGGTTCTTTCTTTCGCATTATGTTCAACGTGGCCTCTTGGCTTAAAACACTAAATGCCCATTCTGAGCCCGTGGCACTGGGACACCAAAGTGGCCTACAATACAGCCTGTGCTCCTGGGCTCCTGTTTTTAGATGGTCACCTTGTTCCTGCGACATCAAACCTTCGCCTGAAGCCCCTTGCTTCAACCTAACGTTGGACCCTATGTTCCCGTGTCCCCCGCTCCCCTCCTCACCCAAACTTCGTGTGACCTCTGACCTATGAGAACCCTGAACAAAGTCGTCTGCCCGGGGCATTCTACTAGGAATATTGACGAGGGAATCTGCATGGGATGACGAAAGGGAAGGTGTCGGCATGAGCGGTTGGGGCCCCCAGTGACTTCGCATATCAGGGTGGCTGTCAAAATGATGGTCCCTTTTTGGATCCCTATTATGATACGGCACCAGGTGCCGTAAACCTTCCATGAAAGAATTAGATTGAGGGTTCGCCTTTGATTGGCCCGCGTCAGCTAAAGTCCGAGGCGCGCCAGTGCGCGATAGTTTCTGCGAGAGAGCTCTGGTTGCGAGAGCGCGCGCCAGCGCGCGACAGGGTAGGTGTTGGTTGCAAAACATGTCTCTGACTGCAGGTCTTGTCGGTTCGGCTGAGGTCTGGTCCTAAACCCTGAACCTGAACCCTAAACCCTAAACCCTAAACCCTAAACCCTAAACCCTAAACCCTATAACCCTATAACCCTATAACCCTATAAACCCTCAACCCTCCTATATATTTAGGGTGCCCCAAAAGGGATCACAATCTTGACAGCCACCCAATATGACCTCCGAGATCCAGCTCCGGCGTGGAGAAGGTGCTCTGCACGCAGCGCCTGCCTTACTTTCGGAACCGGCTCTGCAGCTTGGCTACCTTCCTAAGCCCTAAGCCCTAAGCCCTAAACCCTAAATCCTAAACCCTAGCCCTAAACCCTAAACCCAAACCCTAAATCCCAAACTTTGGGGCCGCGCTGGCGGTTTTGACATTCTTTTGCGGCCTCGCTTGTCGGTTTTTGTGCCGAATGTTTTTCCGGTTTAGGGTTTAGGATTTAGGGTTAGTGGTGTCCATGTTCTCCTGCTCTTACCTTGTGTCTCCTTGGTGTTTGATCAGGATGGGCTATTGGCCCCTAGAATCCCTATACTCAACCCTAGAAAGGGCCTTTGTAAGGGGATTACCCTAGACCCTAAACCCTAAACCCTAAACCCTATAGGGCATAGTAGCCCTTCCTAGCACTCAGGCTTGCAGCTGAAGAGCCACTCCGCGGCCCTGGAGGGCGCGATTTCGGCGATCCGTGGGACTCTTGCAGAGCAAAATTGTGCTTAGTGGGTGGTTGGTGGATTTTCTTGTGTTCCTGGGCTGGCACCCAGTAGGGTTTAGGGTTTAGGGTTTAGGGTTGAGGGCGGTGCGCTGTGGGGCCTGTGTTTTTTTTTTAGTGTTTTTGCAGGGCACAAGTGTTTATAAAGCAGGTGCGCATGCACATGACACTCTTTATCCTGGATACTCTATATTTACAAGCACGCGCGCATACACAGGATAATAATTTAAAGCCTTTAAATTCCTTTAATACCTTCAAAATTTAATTGGAGAGGCCTTCAATTAAATTTTAAAGGGGAGGGGCCCCCTTTAAAATCTTTAAAATCTCCATTTAAATTTAAAAGGTTTTAACGGTTTTAAAGCCTTTAAATTCCTTTAAAACCTGTAGAATTCATTAGGGGAGGCCCCCAATTGAATTTTAAAGGGGACGGGCCCCCTTTAAAATCTTTAAAATCTTTAAAATTTATTTGGACCTCCATTTAAATTTTCAAGGTTTTAACTGTTTTTAAAGCCTTTAAATTCCTTTAAAACCTTGAAAATTTAAATGGAGGTCCAAATAAATTTTAAAGGTTTTAAAGATTTTAAAGGGGCCCACCCTCTTTAAAATTTAATTGAGGGCCTCTCCAAGTAAATTTTGTAAAGGAATTTAAAGGCTTTAAACCTTTAAAACCATTTAAATTTAAATGGAGGTCCAACTAAATTCAAAGATTTTAAAGATTTTGAAGGGGGGGCCCGCCCCTTTAAAATTCAATTGAGGGCCTCCCCAAGTAAATTTTAAAGGTTTTAAAGGAATTTAAAGGCTTTAAAACCTTTAAAACCATGTAAATTTAAATGGAGGTCCAATTAAATTTTAAAGATTTTGAAGATTTTAATGATTTTAAAGATTTTAAAGGGGGCCCGCGCCCTTTAAAATTTAATTGGACCTCCATTAAAATTTTAAAGGTTTTAAAGGAATTTAGAGGCTTTAAAACCTTTAAAATTTCAATGGAGTTCTAATTAAATTTTAAAGATTCTATATCCAGGCACCTGGGGCGAGGAGGGGGGGGGAGGGGGGGAGGGGGGGGAGGGCGGGGGGGGTGGGGGGGTTGTTTGTGGACAGCACCCAACACCCCAACCCACCCACCCCCCCCCCCCCCCCTCCCCCCCCCCCCCCCCCACCCACCCTAAAAATGAACCATAAGAAATCAAGTTGAACTTACCTAACCAGTAACGTATGACAGTCAACCACGCCCATCTAACCTTAGTATAGTTCAACTACTTAACTTCGCCCATCCAACCTCAAACAACGGAATCTTCAACGAAGAGCCCCCCCCCCTCCCCCCCCACCCCCAAAGAATCAATGCTTATAAGCAAGCCAACTGCTTATAAGCAAACCCTTCCTCTGCACAAAAAAACTCTATAAAAATGAACCATAAGAAATCAAGTTAACCTTACCTAACCAGTAACGTATGACAGTCAACCACGCCCATCTAACCTTAGTATAGTTCAACTACTTAACTTCGCCCATCCAACCTCAAACAACGGAATCTTCAACGAAGAGCGTTTCAAAAACGCAGGCCCCACAGCGCACCCTTCTGTTAGGGTTTAGGGTTTAGGGTTTAGGGTTTAGGGTTTAGGGTTTAGGGTTTAGGGTTTAGGGTACCAGTTTGCTGACATGTTTGGTCACATCACAGCAAGCTCCTGTGATCCTCAGTTTGCAGTTGGTAGGGTGTTCATGATACCTGCCACCACACCTGCACGCTAAGCCCCCTAGAGGTGCGAGCTGCAAGTTGAAGTTAAAGCGTATATATTGAAAATGAAGGATGTTTAGTGTATGTTTGTATAGTGATGGCTTGTCACTGCACAGGTCCCGCGCTGTTACGTAGTTCCTTCTGACGGCCACGAAATCCAAGCCCATTGATTCTGCAGGTGTCGCCTAATTTTCACCAACATCACTCGCGTGGAGTATGGGGGATTGCATGGGCTTGCTGTCCCGTTCTTGGTGCTTGCTTTTTGTACTGCCTGGCGTCCCAAAGGGTACGCTTTCGAAACCCATGGCTTCTTTTCTCAGGCAGCAGGCGTCTCACAGCTTTGTGGTTAGGTTTTCCAGGATGGGCTATTAGGCCTCAAAATCCCCACAATGAACCCTATAAAGGACCTTTTAAGGGATTATAGGGCATAATTGCCCATCCTGGTTTCGGAGGTTCAGGAAGCAGGCTCCTCTCCTCAGGTCATCTGGGCCGAGGAATGGCACCTCAATGCATCGCGACAAGGCAGTGCCCAGGTTGTGCAGAATGTTTCCATATATCATGAATATAATAGGGTGGACTACATAGAAGAGAATAGACTGGAATAGAAAGAATAGATTAGAAAAAATGCATGTGTATATGTAGAGACAGAGCGAGAGACAGAGAGAGAGAGAGAGAGAGAGTGAGAGAGAGAGAGAGAGCGAGAGAGAGAGAGAGAGAGAGAGCAATAAACATGTTAAATAGATAGAATATAGTGAGAGCAAGGATCAGATCGGTATTATGTCGGCGGTGGCGTGATGCCAGCGTTGGCCCAGCAAACTGTGAGACCATCACCAGTGCCACTCACAAGAGCACGATTTGCAGGTTATATTCGAAAGGCCGCGACAGGGGCGGTAGGCAGGATTCACACCTCGGAAGACCCGGAAAACCCCGCAAACTCACGACTCCTGACCCTGATGCAAACCCTAAACCCTAAACCCTGAACCCTGAACCCTAAACCCTACACTCCCTTGATCGAACAGCCCCTCGAACACCCGCTGTAGGCGGTGCTCACACGCGCATTGAAGAATCCGCTCCTGGCTCTGCCCGACCTCACGATCGACCTGGCGCAGCTTGGCTGTGGTGGGTTTAGGGTTTGGGGTTTAGGGTTTAGGGTTCAGGTTTAGGGTTTCGGGTTTAGGGTTTAGGGTTTGGGGTTTAGGGTTACCCTCCTGTCCGGAGCGGAACCGGAAAAGACACCAAACCTTATAAAACCGATCCCAATCCAAAATTCCGATGGCGTTTGAACTGCTTGAGACCGACCTCTTCCCTACTTATTGCTTAAGCACCCCCTTCCTGATTTTAGGGTAATATGGGAATATTACTTTTTTTTGTGGGTTCTTAAGCTTATTCTTCTGGGGTTCTTAAGCAAATAGTAGTTCCGTGAAACGGAAGCCAGGTGGATGGGTTGCAGCACCTGTGTGCCGGAGATGCGAGTTTGCTCAGCGGATCAGATTTGCCGACTCATTGGCTTTGCATTAACAGGGTGTCGGGGGTTTAGTAGGGTTTAGGGTTTAGGGTTTAGGGTTTAGGGTTTAGGGTTTAGGGTTTAGGGTTTAGGGTGTAGGGTAGTGTAGGGTTTAGGATTCAGGGTTTAGGGCCAGGTATATCTTAAGGAAGGTACCGACATCTTGTGGACTAGCCTCCAGCTTCCACAATGTTGCATGATGAGTGTCCGATGCCTGCATGGCCCCCTTCAAATAAGAGTATACGGAGAATGTTTCATTTTGGGGGGTAGGGGGGGGGGGGGGGCGTGGTTTGATATTAGGGCGAGGGGATGGAGCAATTGACACTTTACATTGCGACTGGCCTCGCAACCGCGGCTGCAACCAGCATGTGCTGTATGCCCCAAACATGCCCCACTCCTTAACCCTAAACCCTAAACTCTAAATCCCTAAACCCTAAACGCTAAACCAAAACCCTGATCTCCAATCGGGCGTGGAGCCAAGGAAAGGATCCCAAAGATAGCCTCAGCTACCCCTGGATCCGCATCTTCCCACTCTCACTCGAGTCGCTGGTGGCAGGCCTGTGGCCGGAAACCCCCTCCAACCCTCCTACAAAACTCTACACTCCATGTGGCTTCATATACTGTACATATATATATATATATATATATATATAGCCAGTTGCTGTGTGCGCTTGCGCCAAAGCTGGAAAGATCTCTCCCCCCCCCCCACCCCCCCCTTTCCCCGACACCCCTCGATTGCTGGAAACAGGCACCTGCTACGGCGTGGCTGACCTGCTCGTCTCCTCGACTGCAGCTGCCGCCTTCGCGCCGCGCCTGCGCCTACATCATTGTCATCCTTCACCTTCCTCGTTGTTGTTGAGGGCTTTCTTTGTGCTTCATGGGCTAAGTAAAAGTGGCGCCATTTGAGCCGTGTGCATTTGGGCAGTTTCGTTTTGGCCACGGGCTTTCAGTAACAAGCGTTCAGCTTCGGAAGGTTGTGAACGTGTGAACTATAAGGATGTGGGCTTGGATCTGCTGTCGCTCCTGATTGCTTGACATGGCATTGCTTGTTCATGGTTGAGGTTGAGGTTGTCTCCTACAATTCCGGAGCTCAGAATAGCATAATAAATCTGAAGCCGGAGGTATCTCAACGCAAGCAGCAAGCCCTGACCCAAGGGCCTCAAAGAATCCAATTTTATGTTCCAAGCCCAAGACACACAAAGATAAATCTAGTTCGAGAAGGTTGCTGGGATTTCTGGCGCCCTACCTTGCCGGGCATTTTGGCGGCAATGGATTGAGTGAGATGACGGTGCTGAATAGAGGCTGCCTTTTCATTCAAAATTGACATGCGCGGTTTGCTGGCCAGGGAAGCTTTCCAGACACAACAGAACTCAAAGGCCCGATAAGGGTCCGGTTTGAGGGTGTGTAGGAGTGTGCGGGATGCTCGGACCCAAGACCCATCAAGGACCCAATCCAGGGGTCTTTGTTTCGTCTCGTTTGGATTGTGTCTGCCCGGCCATGCGCGGCACTTGTTTTCCCGTAAGCTACTGTTGGGATAGTTGTCTTGAAGGAGCAGGTGAGTCAAGGAAGAGCAACAGTTTCTCTTGGGGCAGTGCTTCCGCATCGCCTGGCTCCCAAAGACACACCGAGAAGCGCGTCTAGTGGGTCCGGAGACATGTTATTGCGCAGGCCCTGTTTTTTGAGTGCAGGACTGTAGTAGATGGAAATTCGATTGCATTTGTAGTCTTATTGGCCGGAATCAATCGGACACCTGGCAGTTCACTCGGTAGGGATGCAGGAAGCAACCATCTTATGCGCCAGATCATCCAAGCAATCGTCTTACAGGAAGATGTAGAATGGTCACACGAGCACGGGTGTTTGTTTTTTTCACTTTTAGGTTTCTGGCGTGTGGATGCTGATTCTCGACGCTGCTAGGTTAATGGGAACACTCACCGCCCGCGTCTTCGTTCCTGTGGCGGCAAGATTTCCAACATCTGAGGTTGAAATTTCACAGAAGCAAGCTCTGCACATGGATAGCGAAGCTGCAACCCCGAAGGGAGAAGAGACTCTGCCGTAAACCCTAAAGCTCTGAAGCTTGCAAGGCCGGAACAATTAAACTGCGCCCTAGCAAGGCCAGGGTGTGGCCCTTGAGCCTAAAGTGACATTTTCAGCCTCAGGCTGGGGCCAAGGGCCCAGGTTCACGCCCAGGTTTACACCCCAACGTCATATGCTGTTAGTAAAAAGCCTTTGGACGCTTTGTATTGCCAAGCCGTGCATGATTCCACTGAAAGAGCATCTGCCCATCATTATCCTTGTGCTTGCACACGCAACACCCATGACAAAAGACACACAACACAAAACACGCAATACACACAAACACGCAAACACACAACAACGAGACAGACACGACACGCACACAGCAGCTTCGGCATAGCTTCGCCATGTCCAAAAGTGGCGGCTTCTCTGTCGGGGCGGTCCCGAAAGCCTGCATGATAGCATATGCTCCACCACGCTGCACTTCAAGTGCCACAAGAGTTGACGATATCTGCGTGACCCGTTCAAACCCTGAACCCAGCCAAAAGCACGCAGGGCCCATCTCAAGTCCGCAGTGAACCCAGGATGACCTACTCATGGGTCGCTACTGCATCTATCTCTCCACTCACTTGGCGCAAGAAGTGCTGGGAGACCAGATCTTGGCTCAGGCAAATTGTGGTCAGAGGTAGCGCTTCGGGACTTCACGATTCATCGGTGGGAGAGGAGGGGGGAGGGCGGGGGGGTTTGGGGGCACCTGAATTTCACCTCTGCGGTGGCGCCCGGACTCCAAGAGCTGAGTTGCTACCTTTTGTTTTTGCTGAAGTCGTTCTGAGTATCGCCGGAGCTATGAATTTGTGAATACAGCGGAAGTACTGGACAGAAACCTGCTGCTCCTTGGCATGTGCTTCTTGCAGATCAAAGTTGATCTGTTCTCCCTGATACTGAACCCCCCCCCCCTCCCCAAATTAAATTGGTTTGCCCTAAACCCAAAACCCCAAACCCCAAACCCTAAACCCTTGGAGAGGGAAGCGGGGGCCGGGGGAAGGGAGAGGCTGCACCACAAGCTTGCGACAGGACTCCACATGCATCGACCACCTCTTCACCATCCACATTCCAGGCGCGCCGCCCGGATTTTAGGGCGGCTGTGCTGCTGGGGAGCGACATGACCTGCAATCTTTCAATCTGAGACTCTGGTTAGCACGAGCACCGACACCGCTAGTGTGTGGAGAACTTCAAGGCTGATCCAGATCGACCATCTTGGGCCCAAAGCATCCCAAACCCTGAACTTGTTCACCGGCATCCTGAGCCCGTTGTTGCGACTGAACCCGAAAAGCAGGAGTGTTTGGCATCGTGAAGGACTGCCTGCTTCAACATGCTGCTTGAGCTTTCGGGATTTCAGATACGCATGAGGGCCGTTAAGGGTTTAGGGTACGGGGGGACAACCAAGGAAGGAAATCAACTCCCCTAATCGCCCTGAACTTATATTTCCCAGATCGAACCAAGAAACAACCAAGAACACGGATAAGAGCAACCCAGGGGGGAAGGAAAGGGGGAAGGAATCCACACCCTTACCAAACCCTAAGAACCCAGGCACTACTTTTTGAACTTGTTGCTTTCTGTTCAAGCCCATCTTGAGCCAAATACGATTACCGGGTTCATTAACCCTTCCAACTTCCAACACTAACTCCTTTCTACAATACCAATTGCAGCTCCGCACTCCCCCTGTCCTAGGATTTCCTAGGACACATTGGAGATGCAGATCTTTTGGCCAAAAACTGCCATTACGGCAGCAGCCAGCTGCTTGAAATGCAAATTGTGGTTTAACGTCTTCCAGGACGGAATTATAGCACATTGGCTAACCTACTACCCATAGAGAATCTTTTTTCACCTTGATCCTCTCATCACTGAAGACTCCTTGGCCTTCTTCACCACAAACCGTGGTCTTCGCTACGCGAAAAGCTACTGACTCCTACTATCAGGGATTTCCATACCCTTAATAGTAACCACCACATTGTCAGCACATTGGCTGTTCCAGCGCACCGGTCTCCAGAAAGAGAAAAACCATCCCTTCATCCATACCATCCAATCACTTCTTTTTCCGATTGTTGGCAATCTTGAGGTGAAGTTGCAGCAGAATATACTCCAGGTCCGAAATCGTAAGAATAGGATCCTGTATGCCCCTTTGAATTGAGGATACCAATCCTTCTCTCTTTGCGTCCTCAATCGCCTGGCAAGATTGACCCAGCTCTTCATTCGCATTGGCAGACCCTGGTGCCTCCGCATCGGATGGACGATCCTTTTCCTCAGGATCTTGCACCATTACCACCTCTTCTTTTTTGGGACTCTGACTTTTCTCCTTCTTCTTTGTCTTTCCACCGACATTTGACTTTGTGCGCGTCTTCGAGGATTTTTCCACTGCAGAAGCCACCACATTGGATGTTGATCCACCCTTCTCAATGATCGTCGGCATCTTCTTCGGCTTTGGAACCATGAGAGTGTAAGGATCTTCGATAGCTGCAGCTTTCCTCTTCTTTTTTACCTTTTTCTTCTCTTCTTCAACGGCAACCTCCGTCTCCGAAGTCTCAACCACTCCTTTTTCGGCAGGAATATCCTTGCTGGACTCCCTTTCTAGGGATCTCTTTTTACCTCTTTTGGGATCCTTTTCCTCTCCCAAATTGGCTCGCTCATACCATATCCTCAGGTCATTGACCCATTCTTCCACCTCCGCGAGCGAAACCTCATACGACTTCACTACTTCGAGAAGTTCCAGCACGGACAACATTTCAGTGGTCCACGAAACCCATACTTGATCCATTTGGTCAGCATCTCCAGTGAACTTCAGGAGTTTGAACAATGGGTCCGCCTCTGCTCGAGCCAAATCTGGCTTGCCACCGGAGAGAAATGAAATCGCCTCCATCAACAGTTCCGTCATCTTGGTCTCTTCGTCATAAACCATAAAATCCTCCTCATCATCATCGAACTGTTCAGGAGGGATCTCCTTTTCTCCACCATTTGCACCAGACTTTCTCCTTGGACCATCCCTTGGGGGCGTCCTTGGAGACCTTGGCCTCTGTTTTTCCAACGGAACACCATGCTCGAAGACACACCTGTCACCAAATCGACACTTCCCAGACCGAGCAAACTGGACGCACCTCACACCAGTTGCATCATGCGAGAACCCACAATCCTTTCCAGCGAAACATTCTCTCCCTGCCACATAGTATTTGCACCAATATGAATGTAGCACCACATCATCTTCGGAATGGATGAATTTGCAGTCGTCACCAAATTTGCAGCGATCTTTCCCTTTGCCAAACCAATAGCAGAAACCCTTCTTCCTCTTCTCCAAGCGCTCTGCCTCATACCGGTCCATAGGGCGACTGTGCTCTACATGAACATTGCCATGTACCTGGGGACTGCTCCCTTCACCCGACGTGCTATCAGTATTTGGTGCTTGGAGTACAGCTGGAAAACCTGGCCTTGGTCCTACCACCTTCATGATCGGTTTTCCGCCAACTCCTGAGCCATGCTGAGACGATCCAAAAACATTGAACATCTTCATGAAGGCCTTCCTAGCGCCAATCTTCTGCACCCTTTTGATTGGACGTTTCATTGCTCCAACCTTGCATCCAGATGCATTCAAACGACGCAACCTTCTAAACCCAACTCTATGTCCCTTCTTCCAAAGAGCCATAAGAATTTTAGAGGCAGTGACATTCTCCACCTCTACCTTTTCCAATGATCCCTCACTTCCCGGAACAAACCCATCCATCTCTGAAGACCTTTCCATCTTTTTTGACACCACTTCGTCAAGGTAGTCTTCTGAAATCCAGGGAAAGTTCCCCTTAGAGGAAGGATTGTCATCATTGTTTGGTCCTTCACCAGGATATCCTTTGGTGCTGTCAAAGATCTTACCAGTAGTGCGGTCCTGCATAGAGAAATTCGAAGCCACGCGGGAGTACACTGACCACAAGAAAATCCTTGTGTCCGCCAGTCTGGATGACCCACTGGATTTCTCCTCTTCCGGAGAAACTTCTGGCGCTTTGCCCTTCCCTCCAGTGTCACCGCTTGTCTCACCTCCAGCATCTTCAATGGGAATAAGGGATTCATTGTTCCCTTGATCAAGCACCGCATCCTCTAGTCCAAGAACTTCCAGCATCGCTGTCGAAGGATCCACCTCCTCATCCGCATCGTCGTCCATCCTTCTCCAGAGAGCCTCCAATTGGTCCGCACAAGTCGCCGCTTGAAGAAACTCCATCAACCGAGCCCTCCCGCGCTGCCAGAGAAATTCTGAAACCATCACCGACCCTTGTGCTCCCAGATTCAGGAATGGGTGAACCATTTTGGCTACCCTCGCCATAAGTTCAATATGAACTTCCATGCCTGGACTGCGGCTCCAATCATAGGCAATTGCCTCCATAGCAGTACCAAACTTGTCCGTATTCTTGAATTCCCCTTCCAGACCAGGAGACAACAAGGTACCCATCACCGAAAGAGGGTAATTCCCCACCGCCGGCAAGCACGGGTTGTCATGGAACGAATGATGCAGGTCAGTATAATGTCCTTGATCTCTCCTTTGAAAAAGGAGTGTTCCAGTCCCTAGCTGGGCATTCATTTCATCCACTTGAACCATTTCAGCACATATCCTCTGTGCCAGGTGCGCCATTGCTGGCCAGACGGTACGATCGGTCAGACCGCGACGCATAACCCAATCAGTTGTTGGCGACTGGATCAGCGTTCCTGGATCATACACCATAACCATTGCACCGTCTCCCATTGACTGATCAGCATCGTCCTCCAGTGCCAGGTTCTCATCCTGTTCGCTTGCACCCTCGGATGACATGCTAATAACCAAATTTCGATCCATCTTATTGGACCCTTTTTGGCAATCTCTTTGCCCCATTGGCAACTTGCCAACTGCAACCTTCCAATAAATTCGAGTCAGAAGGCCTTTCACCAGCAATTGCTGAAGGTCACTCCTCACCGGACCACCATCCAACATCTTCGCATCATTACCACGGAGATCATTGCTCCCGCCTTCTCCTTCTTTTTGGTCGGTCTCCTCGCCAGAAATCTGTACTGCTCCTTCCGGCGCCGTCTCCTGTCCAGCCACTTCATGCCCAGGAAGAACTTGAGCGCTTTCAGAGACATTCACCTGTCCAGCAGCACCTTGCCCAGGTAAAACCTCATCCGTGGAGCCCACCGCCAGCGAACCAACCATAACTGAACCATCCCTTGTTCTTTTTTGAGACCGTTCAGCTCGACGAGAAGGTTGTGGTAGCGAAAAAACTTGAGAAGTCACTTCTTGGCGGGTCTCCCCCCGCGACGCTTTGTCGCGCCCTTCGCCAAGGTGAACCGATTTTTTCGGCCCAGCATTGGAGCCTGAAGAACCACTTTGTGGAACATTGCCACGACTCGCAGTTCTCCACGAATCCCTTTCTTGCAAAAAGATTTCCTTCAGGCGTTGTACCGCATTGGTCTCCTCCTCGCTTGAATCGCTTGAGGAAGCGGCATACGAGACCAAAGCCTCCGCCTGGTCATCATCATCCACCACATCTGCCCACGCTCTGCTGAATGGATACGACAAACCACCACGAGGTTTCACCGGCTCCAGTGGCTTCGGTTTTTCCACCACTTCCGCCAGTTGCACTCGTCGTTGTGACCGAGA